CAATATTTATTTTTCAAAAATTTGTGAACTGTCTTTAGTTCACGATCAATTGCATATATACACTACAATTTTGAAGAAAAACAAATAAAATATTTGGTGCCCACATTCGAGAATTCCAAAAATATTTGTACTATTTACTTTCATATTTTAGTAGCACCTTTGATATTTAAGAAACATATATTTGTTTATTTAAAAACTCTTAGAAGTTCATGAACTGAGCAAAATGGGATCTGTTTTTAGCGGCGAAAGTATATAGATTTTCTAAATTCTACGTAAATAAATATTCTTGTTTATGTTTTTTTTTTTTTAGAGTGTACCCGTTCCTATTCTCCATTCTCGCTGGAACTTACATTTGTTTGTCTTTGCGCACTTTGATGGATTATCTGTGGTTTATTGAATGGCATTCCTGGCCACAAGTAGATGCTTTATGGCCTGACAGCAAGAGGCAAACAAGTGAGAAGCAAACAAAAGCAACAAGGTTGCAAGGCCCCTTTCCAAAACAGTTACATTATTTCTAGTATCTAAAGGTATTAAGTAATAGCCAGCGTTAATTATATGTTTGTTTTGTATTTAATATTATTTATTTGTTTTCGAAGAATACATCTTTGATGATCGCACTCAATAACCTTGACGCAATCTGCAATCTAATAGCTTGTGCGAAGCAATATATTTATTGATTTACACTAATTTGCATCAGCATTATATTTAAGGGGTAAATAATGTTCGAAGCATTATCTTCAAATAATAGGCGAAACTCAAATTCTGGCACAAGCACGCAATTTTTGTGAACAATATGTAATACCATAAAAAAGCATTTTCAAAGCGAAAAATAATTTTTGTTTATGTACGAGTATATTTTTATGTCCATGAGAGTTTATGCTAAGAAATATACAATATTTACTAATACTAATAATACAATTTGAGGTCATACTTTATGAATACAGCAATGCAATTATTATTTGTATTTGTAATTGTTTTTTTTTTTCAATTTTCATTTCATTAATCCGAATTTTATTTGCTGGATACTAATTTTAATTGCCTCATTGTTTCAAGATACAAGAAATGCAGAATACTCGTATATACATAAGTAAGTAGTTCCGCTTTCAGGCCTTTATGAAGTACTTACGTTTGCAGCGATGCAAGATTTGAGGCTGAGGCGCCAACGCCGCATGTCGTGGAATGCATTTGCCAACTTTTGTTGTTGTTATCGTTCTGCCAGCGATTTGTTGCAGCAGTTGTTGCAAATCCAATGGCTTTATAAACAGCTGCACACACTTTTCGCGCGAAATGTTGCAAATGCCTATGCGAATGCACGCGGCAACAACAATAAAACCAACAACAACACACAAACAAACAACAAATAAATCACACGCACACACAGTAAATCAACACGAGGATATACGGAAGAATAATTACGTGTGAACTCAACGCGCAGGCACAAAAATACAAGATTGATGAATGCGAGTCTGCGATATGATGTGATATGATATGATATGATATGATATGTAATGGCGCTGGCTTGGGGACAGAGAGGAGGGATGCCAGGTGAGGTGGTGGCCAATTCTTAGTTAGAGTGTTCAGGTTTCAGGTTAAGCGAATTCACAGCTCGGCGCACGACGTTCAATGTCTGACTGAATTTCCATTTCCGCTGAGGATGCTCGGAGACCACCAAACCGGCAGCGACGCAGCGTCGCAGCTGCTTAAGCAGCGGATACTAGCGTCAGCTACTCCCATCGACATCGACATCCACGTCCACCTCCACCCACGTGGCTGACCGTCATTGCTGTTGTTGTTGTTCTGCTTCTTATTGCTTAGCATAAACATACAAAAAGAAACAAAAAAAAAAAAACAAAACAAAAAGAAGGAAATTAAATGCCGCTGCGCTCTGCTCTGCTGGGTTGTCGGCGTCTATGTGTGTATTTAATTGTGTGTGTGTGCAATTTCATTGCCTTTACACACACACACACACACACACACACGCAGTACGTCTCATTGTGTTCAATTTCGAATTAGTTAAAACATTATCAAAGCGAATTCTACAAGAGTTAGTTGCATTCTAGGAATATGTGTGAAATTTGATTAATGCATAACATACACAGACACATATATATATATATATATAAGATGTTCTATGATTTATGGTTTATTTTTAATACTGACTTTGATTGTAACTATTTTGGCATATCCAAGTGTTATTCGAATTGCGATCATTTTAAATAAAGTGAAAAATAAACGAGAAATACACACAGAAATAACAGAAAATATCCTATATAATTGAGTACATATTGTACATATATAGCAAGTACAATAAGATTTTAAGTCAAATAAACAGATTTATATTCGAATTGAGATCGAATTTCAGCTCACAGCTAATTTCCTGCCTATTATGGGCACTAAGTAATTGTGTATAGTGGCGGAAGTATAATAAAGATGTTAATTAACAATAATAATAATAAAATAAATGTAAAATTCAATTTCGATTTTCTTATAACAAGAAAAAATATTATTAATCTTCTAATATGAACAATATTCAGCATAGGCACAGCAACACTGACTGCAACACACTCAATCGAAGTTTGAATAATGATAAATTGTGAGTCTCAATATTCGGGTGAATGTTCCAATTGTCTATCATAATTTTGGGTGCTAACCTTTTTATGTGGTAGAGCATCTGGAAAGCGTTGACTGATGTCTTTCGTGAATTGTCGGGCACGTCAAAAGGCCATTCCAGAGTTCCTCCACCACATGTCGTGGTTGTAGTTGTTTTTTACGGCTGCTGCTGGATGCTGCTGTGATGTAAATGAATCACAGCCAACGAAAATATAAAATAGGGGGGAAAAAAAAGTACATAAAACGAATGTTTAAAAGGCCAGCCCACAATCACATACACAGTCACACACACACACACACACACACACACACACATTTGATTTGGACCTGATTGTTGCCACGCCACTTGTTTGTTTACATTCGCAGCTGCTGCTGCCGCTGCTGCTGCTGCTGCTGCTGCTGCTGCCACAACCTGCCTGCGCTGGAATCGCGTATACGCCGCGTATGATGACGACGCACTGGGCCCGTCCCACTAAACTGGGTGCGAATTGAGATTTTCCAGCTGGCAATTAATGAAATCATGCGGAATAGCCCACAAAATCTATGCCTATGCCCAGTTCCATGCCAATGACTCAGGTTGTGCGTGTATGTGCGTGTGTGTGTGTGTGTGTGTGTGTATGTGTGTGTGTGTGTGTGTGTGTGTGTGTGTGTGTGTGTGTGTGTGACGTGTGTACACTCAAAAAGCAACAGTTCAAGCACAACATGAATATAATTCGTAATTAATATGAACAAATATAGTTTAAATTAAGTACAAATTTCTCATTTCAAGCAATTCTGTGCTTAAAACGTGTGTGAAAATTTTAGAAATTTAATTCATAATTCCAACTGATTTAGTTTTTTTTTTTTGTTTATTAAGATTCAGTTAAGGACTTGATTCTTATCTATTATTATTTGTAATAACTAAGTATCTTACTCTAAGTAATCAAGTTCCTTATTCAAGAATTATTATTATCTGAACTTTGTTCAAATAAATACAATCGTTATTTAAGAACATTAATACTTGATTCGAACTGTAGTTGATTTATTCAACGATTACTTATATTACAACTTCTAAACAATCAAGTTCCCAACTTATCTAGACGAATCACAGTAAGAGCAAAACTTACTTTAGACTTAAGATATTAAAGACGCTCTTGAAATAAGAAAATCATTCTCTGGTCAAAGATCGCATTAAAAAGTACTTGTAAAAAAATGCTCGACTTTCTTTGCGAGTGTATGATTAGAGCAACGGGGACTGGGTGGAGGCAAATGCAAGTGGCTGCCATTTGGCCACTTCTTCACTTGGCCACTTGACATTGACGGGTCGACTGCGACTTGTGACACTTGCTCAATTAGCGCACTCAGACGCGCCTGGGCCATAAAAGTTTCTATTGCTCGTGTTGCTTACATGGCGTGTGAATGTATCTCGTACATTGTTAGGCACACAGATTGGAAAAGAAACGCACTTTGCTTCCAAGTAGCCGGCCGGGGTGACATCAGTGCGACGTATTTAGCCAACAGTTGCCAGTTGCCATTTTCGGCTACGGCCGAAATAAAATTTCATTTCTTTCCATTAATTTACAGTTGACACACATATCCAAAATCTGAAAAAACCAGCAATCAATGCGAAACTAATGCAATTACTCAGCAAACGAATTTTTAATACGCTTGCCAACATCTTAATTGGCCATAATTAAATAGTGGCAACTTTTCTTTATTATTTGATTCATCTAGTTTTACACAGTAATTGCTTAAGTTTAACTATCGCCATTTCAATTAGAATGTGTATTTTAGTAACTACAAATATACATACATATAAGTTTAAAAGATATATGTATGTATACTTTAATCGTATGTCTTTGTGAAATTCGAAATGGGAAAAAAACACAAAGTGCAAAGATTCTATGCTATTTAAGTGTTTTCGAGTTCAAATCTCTCAGTATACAGTAATAGGAAACCTCACGTTAAATACCCTATTATAAGGATTTAAAGCTGGAAACTTCAGATATATGCTCAATATATTCAATACTGTACATATTGAATTGCAAACCTGATTGCAAAGTAATCAAGCTCTAAATAGCAACCGCAGGCACAGAGAAACTTTTTGTTGTTTTTTTTTTTGTTTTTAAATTGAAATTGAAGTCGCGTGTCGATTGGTGATTAGTGATTAGCGCCATTTGATACCTGACTTCAAATTGTTTGGTGTGGGGCGCAGCGCTTCCGGTGGCAGCCGCATCCCTCCACCCGCTTGCCTTCAATCCATTGCCACTTGGCCAACTCCATTTAATGACCGCGTTCATTGGCCTCTTAGTGTGCCTTGGTTTATTTATTCAGCTTGCGGCCACGTCCGTTGCACTTGTAGGGTCATAAAATGTGTGTAAGCAATAACAACAACAACGACAACAAACATCCTAGTCCAGATAGGGATAGATTAGAGGATCCCGCATGCCACGCAACACTTGCCACACACTTTGCTTGTTTTGCTCCACGGTGCCAGCGATGACTTTATTCGACACCTGACTGTACGGAGGCGGACGAGGATGCGGCCGGATGAAACGGCGTCGTCGTTGCCGACGCACCGGTGTTAACCAAAGAAGCTTCGCCAGCCGGCGCTTACGGTGCTCCCGGAGAGCGCGGGACGCACAATACGGACGGATTGTCACATAGTAGACGATCTCAATAACCGAGAAGATGCTGAAGCCCATGAAGAGACCCAGTATACCGCCAGTATTTGCTACAAAAGAGAAATTAGTCAGATTCCTGAATACGGCTCCCAGAAAATCTGGATCTTCCAGCTAGACTCATCCAACATAAACTTGTTCGGCACTTACAGAGAAACTCGGTGAAGCCAAACATTTCGGATTTGGTGGTGCTCCGAAAATTGTTGTGGAGATAGTAAAAGTGGAGTATGGATAGGTCACTGTCCTCGCCGTGCCGACTCGCATTGAATAGATGCTCGGGCAGATCCTCGCCGCTCTTATAGTTGGGGCCCCCGATAATTGGTGAGCTGGACATGGCATACTTGTAGGTCAACTCAAAGCAGCCCGGCCAGCAGTTCTCACAGGACAGCTCCCCTCTCGATGACTCAATATCGGTCTGGACACGATTCGTGCAATTGTTGTCATTGGGTCCGCAAATGCGAGCCATAGGATCGATTCGGGGCAGATAGTAGAGGACACATTTGCAGTCGCGCAGCAGCAGCTTCGCCTCGCACTCCAGTTCACAGTTCTTGCGCGAATAGGTGCGATAAAAGGACAAATCATTCTCATCTGAGAACAGGCAGCGACGCACCGATTTCTTAATCGATCGAATGCTTGGCGTTGCATCCTCATAGACGGGCTCAACGGATATTCTAGCCTCACGGCCAGCACCGACCACAAATCCGTAGTTGCTAACCTTGGGCAGCTCGGCAGGATTGTGCACCAGCACCTAGATTTAAAGCATAATTTATTTTGTTTTTAATCAATTATACTCTTTTTCAAAAAATCCTTGAATTTTTCAACTATGATTGAAAATTTCCATTCTCTTAGCTTGCCTTAATTTGAATATTAAATTATATTAATTCCAAGGTATATTTTGTATTAGAAACAAAAAACAAAAGGAGGTTTCTTAAAATGTAGATTTTCAACATCTTAAATAAGTTTATAGAATTGTACTTTTCATAGAAAAGTAAAAAGAAAATATATTTCAGAAAATTAGAAAAACCAAAGATATTTTTTGGGATAGTGATTGCCAAATGTCAAATATCTTTCTTAGAAAAAAATGAGTATTCCTGATATAGCCTACATTTGTTATATTTCTGTACCTTGAAGCCATTGCCCATGGACTTGGTGCAGTAATATTCCGCCGTGGAGGTATTCAGCACCACAGTCAAGCCCATGCGACTGCCAGTACCGCCCGACATTCTGGGATAATAATAAGCCGGCAGTATTTTTTCATAGCCACGTTCGGGTGTCCAATCGATGGGTTCGTAGGGCGAATACTCCGTTGCCGGCTGTATGCGCACATCGTCCGAATAGTTGCGAAACAGATAGATGGGATCCAGTGCATTAAAGGTGCAGCACAATCCATCGTCGGTCAATATCGAATTGAAGATCATCGAACAAGTCTCCTTCTGCGACCCGAAACTGCAGTACAACAGCATCTCATCGCAGGGCTGTGCCACCTCCACCAGCAGCGCCTTGAAGTATTTCCAGGTGCCAACATATGTGATGGTTTGGTCATCACCCTTGTTGCACAGGCTCATCAGCAGCGTGTAATTATTGCTGAATCTACTTATCAAAGAGATACAACATAATAGTCAACCCTTGATGAATCAAGAAGAATATTTCATTCTAAGACCTACAATCTCAAAACAAAAACGTCTTCCTCAAAACTTGATTCAAAGTGTTTATTTTAGAACTCAATCTAGGAATATATTAATCTTTCATATGATTTATGATCGTCCCTTCACTTTTGATTTTAGATTGGTTTTTCTCTGCGTGGGGATCGAATTATTTATTTGAATATTGAGGATAGTTATTTCTGACTCAGGTTGTTTTTTCTCTGTGTAGGTATCACATTATTTATATGAATATTCAAGAGAGAAAGCAATACTTATTTACATTTGCTGTATATATGTGGACTGAGCCCAGTTTTTGTACTCACCGCGAAATGCGCTGAACGCGACTGCGCAACGCCTGGTTGAGATTGCAAATGGTGATCGCCGGAAAGGGCATGTTGCTGGTCAGTAGTTGCTTGGCGCTCGTCGAGATGATGATCGGCGAGGCACTCCACTTGATGTAGATGTTTGAAATGAAGAAGCCCGATAGGATAACGACCAGCACAAAAGATATGCCAAAGAAGACGCTACACAGGCATCAGTACTAATATTTATATTCAAGTATTTTTTATAAACACGCACAGACACTCAGTAAAAAAGTATTTCCTACTCGAATCAAAAAGGAACATTATCCAAATGACGCCTGTCACAATAAAACTTTATTTCAGTATGTCATACTCATTCCATTGATGGGTTTTATGTCCTCGAAGAGAGTTTCATAATATTGTTGTAAGGGAGGCATATTTCGGTATACCGGATAGGATATATATAATATATAATATATTGACTTTACAACAAGAGTTCACAAAAAAAAAAAATATATATATATATATATTTATGTATATAGTATTGTAGTATCTTCAGTTCCGGACTAAAATTTTATCTTTAGCATATTTGTTTTTGGGTTATTTCGATATTTACAGAGAATCTTGCTTTTGAAAGTTATTTAAATAAGGTTGAGGACATTCGTCTTCGTTATTTTCAACGTTAAGTTTATTCTCAGGAATCAATTTAGAATGAAATTGGAATGTCGGCAGTGCAACTCCGGTCTGCAATGGGGTCTAATCTCTCTAGGCACTCTTAATTGTTTTAATCCTAAGGTAACTTAACTTTGGTGTTTCTAATAACTTTTTCTTACATACATTAAGCTTGTTTCAAATTCTGAATATATAATTTGTAAATATCAGTTACGCTTTCGGATAAATCAAGCATTTTCAACTTGAATTGATATATACATATTTTTATTCTATTTATTTCTTACTATATTTTTCTGACTCTACTTATACACACATACCGCTCCGATATCGTAATCCGCTCCTCGGCTAAGTACTTGAGGCCATGCAGCGAGCTATTCCTTAGATAATCCTTGATGCTCTTCTTGCTTGACTCAAGACTGCACATCGTCTGCTCCTCATCCATGGAGTCATCACTGTGACTGTGACTGCGGCAGCGATGCTCCTTCTTGGTCAGCAGGTGGCTGGTTATTGGTTTGCTATCCCCTTGAATTTTCATGATTGAACTAACAGACCAGCATGTCACGCAAGTTCCATTTATACGAGTTCCTCGAGCACACTTCGATCCAAATCGCAGTCAAAAGCATATTGACCTTAAGCAAATATGACTGCAAATGACTGCCAAATTGAATTGCCGGAATGCAGTGGCAAATCACGCTTAATGCGCTTTACCGAACTGTGCGTGGGCGTGGCAGGAGCAATATTTGCCAACAGCGAAAAGGATTCACATGCACGCCGAATTACGCAATTGCAAACATGGGTGACATTTTGGTATTTCATTTCCATCCAGTTGTAACAGCAGCCAGCCCCATTGCTCAGTTTCCAGTTCCCGGCCAAATGGTGCCTGCCACTCTATAAAAATAGCTGCGGGCATTAAATACAAGTACATTATGATATAAACAAAAGCCAGCCAAACAACAACATCGAAGAAAAAAAGAAGAAAAACCTCTAAACAAAAACAAATCGAATTCAAAGGCACACTCAGCAAAACAAATGAATAAATTGTATACTCAAATCAAGGACAACCATTGTCAAAATCTATATAAAATTGTTTTTTAGCATCCCGACATTCAACATGTTAGACCGATTCGGTATATGTTAAGTACGATTGATGTTATCTTAAAATAGTTGCTTACCTAAAACATTTCCAGATTAATCAATAACTGAATTACGTTGCGTAAGATATTTCGTTAGTTTTGTAAGAATCAAATTGCTTAAATCATTGAAACTGATTTAGTGTGAATCAAGAATTTATGTGATTACAAGAAAAACTAAAGTTCATTTATTTTCATTTATTTAAAGTACAAAATGTACCAATGTACTTCAAGAATTTTTGTTCTAATTAATGTACAAAAAAGAAAGAAGTCTCCAGTCGAGAGAGCTCGACTACGAGATATCTTAAACCCAAGTCGTACTTGTCTTAGTTACTCAAACCAATCCATTGAAAAATACACATTGTATAAACATTTGCATATATGGAACAATGTGTATTTAGATATATAAATAAAATCTTTTATGCCAAAGTAAACTAAGATTTGTATTAATATTCTCGAAGCTGACAATTCATCATGCAGACTCGGCTGTTGATTCTACCTTCTGCCTGTTGCAATATAATTGCTTAAATATTTACTAAGTCCATTATACCTATTTTAACTACATTTGTAAAGGGTCGATTGAAAAATTTGTACTTAAATTTGGAAAAGCTTTTTTCTGCAAATGCTTCAAACAGTGGCCATAATTGATTACCTCTAATATTCGGATTAGGATATAAATGTTGTATAGCAATGCTGTGAATCAAATACATTGAATACCTCTGATTTACTTTGCATAATCTATTCAATGTTAAATGAATCACTTATGCTAAATACAAATGAACATATAACAATTATTGATTTATAGAAAACCATTATTTTGTTTTATTTTCCGTATAGCTTCAACTGTCTTAAATATTTTCGCATTAAAATATACATTTATTCAAATATATATATACATTCATAAAAAAATTGGCACTGAAACACTTCTATTTTCTTCATTCCATGAAAATATTTTCTGTTTTTTTTTTATCTCACAATCGCTTTGCACATTCGTTTAAAATTCCTAAATAATTAGAAAAAATGTGCATATAAATAAAATGTGTATAAATAAGTAAGGAAAAATAATGGCGGCGCAAAATTGTGCGTGTACAATTAATTAACTAGTTGTTGAACTTGAAGTAATCAACATTGAGATCCAGAATAGCCGCATTGGGCGTCTCCTTCATGCTGAGCGCCTCGACAGCATTATCGCTAGCATGATCATAATGCGGCAACATTGCGCCCGCGCCATGGTCAACTGTGGGCTGTGCCACAGCTACCGGTGGCTGCATGAGATCGCTAACATTGCGTAACAGACTTTCCTCGGATGGTGGCAGCAATTTGCCACCGGCGGACAAATTTAGTCGCTGAGCAGCCTCATCCGTGAGCGTGTCATCCAGTGACATGCTGAGGCCCGGATAATCGACCATATTGCGTGCACAGCTGGACACAGCGCTGCTGTGCAACGACTGCTGCAGCTCCGGTTCCGGTGTCGGCGCCTGCGCCGATTCCATAGCCGACATATCCAGCGCATACTGACCCTCAGGTATGCCCAGAACGCGTGCGATGCGCGCATTCACAAAATGCACACCGGATGTGTTGCGAATGAGGCGCGTGCTACGCAGCTGCAGCTGCTCCACAAAGTCAGTTAACTCGTGCAAAAAGAGATCGGCGCGCTGCTCCTCGCTGAGATGACTATGACGCTGCAGCTGCGCAGTGAGAAGTCCAAACAGTGTCGGTACATTGAGCTGTTGTTGTTGCTGCTGCTGCGGCAGTTGTTGCTGTTGCTGCTGCTGTTGTTGCTGTTGCTGCTGCTGCTGATGCTGCTGCTGCTGTTGTTGCTGGTGTTGCTGCTGTTGGTGTTGCTGCTGTTGGTGTTGCTGCTGTTGCTGCTGCTGTTGCTGCTCTTGCTGCAGTTGCTGCTGCTGCTGGTGTTGATGTTGAACGGCAATGGCGCTGGGCATATGTTCGGGATACTTGACGTAGTGGCGCTGCATACGACGACCCAGAAAGATCTTGTTGCAGCCCGGACAAATTGCATTCGGCGGCACAGCACGCTCCTTGTACGCTTCAGCTGCTGGCAAGTCTGGAGTGTGCGCTGCTGCCGGCGCACGATAGTCCTTGTCCCTCAGCTCCGCCACAAGCATCTCCAGCATTTGCGATGAATTTGGCGCTGCTGCTTCAGTTGCAACTGGCGCTGTTGCCGCCTGTGGTAAGGGAGGGCGTATAATGCGTCCGGAGCGAGTGCGAGGCATCGAATCCGCATTTAAGGCGGACACTGGTTCATTGGTTTTTCGGCCAATGGCAACAGTTGGTGCTATACCAGATATGTCTGCTGTTGCCGTACGTTTCCGTGCACGGCTCACTTTAAAGGAGGACGATGAACGACTGCAATTAGCCGGATACATGCCCATGCCGATGGGATCCATGCAGCGATAGATGGTTTTCTGATTAGTCAATGCATCGGTGCGGATAACCTCATTCCGTTTGCTGCAAGTCAAAAGGTATATTCATAATGGATAAAGTTGCTCATATGTGGGATAAGTGGCACTCACCGATCGATAACGATGTGATCCTCCTTGGCAAGCCGATACAGATTGTAGGCCAGCCTGGCCAATGAATCGCAATCCTTGTTTGCCACATTTACCAACTCGGTGGCAGCGGCCTCTGCATCAAATGTGTAACATTCCGGCAAATCGGTCGCTGGCACTGCGGGCGGCAACAGATCAACGCAATTCAGCAGTGACGGATGAAAGTCGCCGCTATTGCAGCTATTGTTGCTATTATTGTTGCTGCTGTTGTTATTATTAATGTTATTTTGCTGCTGCTGCTCGGCTGCGGCCGCTTGCAACTGGATCACAGCGCTGTCCAGTTGCTCATCGGGCAAGTCGAGGGCGAAGCCAAGCAGAGCATCTTTGTGAAAGTTGCAGCTGGTTGTGCTTGGCTCGCCACTGGCGCCGTTAAGCGGCATCAGTAGATTTTTCATTGCCGGTCGCCAGTATTCGATGTTTTATGCAAATGCAATGTCACGTTTTGTGCTTAATTGGAGACTTGTAAACAACAACAAGATTTTGTAACTCGAACTTGTCATTTGCATCCATCGATAGACGATATGAACTATCGAATCAGGTGCACATCGTGCCAAGATGTTAATATCGATTGCAGTTCGCGATGAATATATTTTTATCAGCAATCGATTTGTTTATTACATCGCTATTGTTAATATTTGCTACACTTGCGGCGAAATTTGCAACTTTAATTTATTTAGACAAACACCAAACAGTTATTTGTATCCGGTTATACAATTGTAAACAGCTTCTATTTTATTGCTGTCAAGACGACAAACACCTATCTTCCCCATCCTTTTAACCGCCGGCGACGCACGACGGCTTGCGAACTGTTTCTTTTTTTCCCCCGTGCATTTTGGTCAAGATGTCGAAAAATAAACTAAACTTAGTGCTGCCGCCGGTAAATGTGGATGCAGCTGTTGCCACCACACAGGTGGCACCAACACCGCCATTCAAAACGCCATCGGGAACAGAGTAAATATAACTTATATATTTTATATATGTGCACAAATATGTGCATATATGTGTTACATTTAATGATCCCCCCATCCCCCCAATAAAAATGTTTGATTGGAAAACCCGAAAAGATAATAAAATAAATGTTCATATTCAAATAAATGTTGCTATTATTGCTGGCCAAATGACGCACACATAAATATAAACATTCGCACACAAATACACACACACGCACACTTGCAGACATATGTATATATATATATAGATATACACATCAGTCGCTTGTAAATGAAGTACTTTCAAATCTCTTAGTGTTTCCAGTATGCGAATAACTCCAATTTCTGTCCCTTAAATATAATTTGTAATATGTGCATTATACAACATTTTAAATATGATGTTTTCTGTTGCTCAATGTTATATGGATTTCGCAAATCTTTTCTGCAAATGTTAAATTTTAAATAAAGAATGTTTTACGTCTTACAATGGCCACATCCTTATTACTCTCTCAATTAAAAATGTCTCAACTCCAAGCGACCAGTGTCTGCGTGTGTGTGTGTGTGTGTACGTTTTGTGTGGCATACCAACAAACATCGCAATAAGAGCAATCCAAATGTCCACAAAAATGTTGTTGCTACTTTTCGTTTTGTACTGCAAAAATTCATTAAAAAGTTAAATTAAAGAACACACAGCTTGCTGGGAAAGCCAAAAGCATCGAGCATCGATGCATTGACCGAAACGTTGGAGGGCCTGGACATGGACGACACCGAACGCAAGCGAATCAAAGTGTTCCTCAGTCAGAAGGAGAAGATCGGCGAACTGTCCGAAGAGGATCTGGAAAAGTTGGGTGAACTCGGCTCCGGCAATGGCGGCGTTGTGATGAAAGTGCGACACACCCTCACAAATCTGATAATGGCGCGGAAACTCATCCATCTGGAGGTGAAACCAGCGATCAAGAAGCAAATCCTGCGCGAGCTAAAAGTCCTTCACGAATGCAATTTTGCGCACATTGTTGGCTTCTATGGTGCCTTCTATAGCGATGGTGAGATAAGCATTTGCATGGAATACATGGACGGCGGCTCCCTCGATCTCATCCTAAAGCGAGCCGGCCGCATACCCGAATCGATACTCGGACGCATCACGCTAGCGGTGCTGAAGGGACTCAGCTATCTGCGCGACAAGCATGCGATCATCCATCGGGATGTTAAGCCAAGCAATATACTCGTCAACAGCAGCGGCGAGATCAAAATCTGTGATTTTGGCGTTTCGGGTCAGCTTATTGACTCGATGGCCAACTCATTTGTTGGCACGCGCAGCTACATGTCGGTCAGTTACCTTATCCCAATTCTAATTGTGGCCAAAAGTACTACAACAGTGGTCGCTGCAAATTTAGAACTTGTATAAATTCTATTGTTCAATCAGTCATCAACAAATATTGTTCATTCAAATCAACACAACTCCACAGCACAAGTTATAATTTTCAATCCACAACTATATTTAAATCGATTAAACCACTTGCGTTTTCGTCATTTAAATTTAACTAAAAAAAAGTGCAATATCTACTACTATCTCCTGGCTCATGGTAACTCTCTTAAATCTTTTCAATCTCTTCAAAATAACATCAGATATTATCCATGTCTGAGTAAACCTAATAGTTTGTGGACACATACTAACAGATCGCATCCCATGGTTTCGCTTTATTATTTATTGTTTATTTAATTCATTATGTTTGTAATTATTAACAAGTTCAAGGAACTCCCGATTACGACGGCTGCTGGATGATATCATTTTTTAATTATGAATGTAATGTACAAATATTTTTGCAGCCGGAACGATTGCAGGGCACTCACTATTCGGTACAGTCCGACATTTGGTCTCTGGGCTTGTCGCTAGTTGAGATGGCAATCGGAATGTATCCAATCCCGCCGCCGGAAGCCTCTGCGCTGGAGACCATATTTGCTGAGAATGCCAATGAAGATGGCAGCCAAGCGACGCTAGAGCCCAAAGTGATGGCAATATTCGAGCTGCTCGACTATATTGTTAACGAGCCGCCACCTAAGCTGGAACACAAGATATTCTCCAACGAGTTCAAGGACTTTGTCGACATATGCCTCAAAAAGCAGCCGGACGAGCGTGCCGATCTCAAAACATTACTGGTTCGTAATGATTATGCTTGTCTTTGTTACTCGTTCGCTATACACGCTATATAAATAAATATTCTCCTTTGGCAGAGCCATGCATGGATACGCAAGGCGGAGGTGGAAGATGTCGACATATCGGGATGGGTGTGCAAGACAATGGATTTACCACCATCGACGCCAAAACGCAATACCTCGCCCAACTAATTGGCATTCCTTTATTTCACGCGCACGCACTCAATACACATACTAAACGTACACATGCATAATAAGTACTCACGTTCATTATTTATATGTTGTTGCATATGTGTGTGCTATATTATACTTGTTGTAACAACTTGCTCCTCCCCGTCCTCCTCAACACACTCTTTGTTATATTTCTTTCTTGCGCTTTGTGTGGATACTTCTGCTATATCTGGCTTTTAAAATCAATCAATCAAGCAAAAAATGGACAAAGCAGAGCAAAGAGAATAAATTAAATACAACTAATATTTAAATGAGTCCAAATCGAGTTTGCAATTCAAAATTTCATTTTTTCGAAGTGTTTTAAAATAATATTCGTAGCAGGCCTGGAGTTTTGTGTCTTTTATTGTAGCATCTGGAAAACTCGAGCTTGTCAAATCATTCGTTGTCTGACGATAGAACTGTAACAACAAAATTATCTAACTTTTGTCAGAGAAAAGTACTTTTCTGTTTTAAGGAAAACAATTGTAATATTTTTGTGTAAAAATGTCGAACGTTCTGAAGATATTTCGATTGAGTCATAGCGTGTTGGCCAATAGCCGTTTAGCCCAGATGCAACGCTCAATTTCGATTGCTGCACATCAAATGCAAAATCTTAAAGGTGAAGCCCTGCAGAAGACATTGCCACAAGAAGAGGAGAACCTAACTCCAATTGAATTAACACCATCACAACGCAATTTGGTCGAGTTTGTTACGGGCGAAATCGTGGAAGAGCGTCGCGTGCAATTGCATATGGAATCGCCATGCATTATCGATGATTTTACCGGATATTTCACTGGTTCCAAAGTCGAGCTCATTAAGGAGTCGCCCGGCGAGCGTATTAACATATTTTTCAATGTCAGCAAGAGTGTGCCACGCCGCAATGATGAGACGGGCGAGCTGGCACCAGTGCGCAGCGTTCCCAAATTTGAGGTGCTGATCAAAAGAAATGATTTGCTGCTATCCATATTTTGTGTATTCAAGCCATCCGCTTTTGAAAATTTGGATATGGATTTGGAGTTGGATGCATTGGATCAGCAAGCACAAGAGAACTATGTATATGAGATACAGGACCTATCCCTGTATAATAAAGGATGGAACGACAGCTGCTTTACCATTGACGCATCCCTCATCGATGACAATCTGCAAATTTTGATCCTTGAGATGCTTGAAGAGAAGGGCATCACCCATGAGTTTGCCAGAAAACTATCCGACATGGCAACTGCGCGCGAGCATGCCTTGTACATTGAGTTCTTGGAAAATCTGTCCAAGTTCACTGTGGGCATACCCAAGCCAATAAAGAAAGCTGCAAACAAAGCATAATAACAAATACACAATATATACATATTATATATTAAATGCGTTCTAAATAAATGCACATGTGATTCGAGCAAACGTAATTTCGAAGGTTTCTTAAATGCGCGCATTGCTAAAGGCTTTGGACGATGTGGCAACGCCGCGTGCAAAAACCCCACTTAACTGCAATTGTCGAGCTTTGGTTGGCAACGCCGTAACCTGTGACGACAGCAAACAAAATGAAAACATCAAACACTGTTATTGTGTTTAGGTTGTTATTGGTCGACTGCTGAGTGCCAAAAAAAAGAAAACAAATTGTATACGTAAATAGGCTGTAGTTAATTTTTTGATAAGTGCAATTGTGTGTGTGTGTGTGCGTTGATTATTATGCATAGTCACGGATACAGTTTCCGTACGCAATTGACAGTGATTATGAATGTATTTCCTGTGTAATTGCAATTGTAGTGAATGCAAAAACAAAGCACTCGCAGCGCAGCCGATGCGGACGCAGTAAAAGTTCTTTGTCTGCGCGACGCCAACGCCAGCGACAAGCTGCCGTCCCGTGTGTACTTGTATGGTGTATGGCAATGTGCGTTGGTGCAAAATTCGCAGTTGTTAGTGGACAGCGAGCGGGCGACGAAACACAACGTTAACAGCGACGTCGACGTTGCGCTGCTTTAGTTGGAGTTGCTATTTGTGCATGTGTGTGTGTGTGAATGCGAGAATGTGCAAGAGTGTGAGTGCGTGCGTGTGTGTGTGTGCAAGTGTAACTAAACAAAGCAACAGCTTACCACGCGCCATAACAACAACAAGAAGCCAACAGTCAGTCAAACTAAGCGCTGCAACGCAGACGTGTGCGTCGTCGCCAGTAAGCAAGAAAGTTGCTGATGCTGCTTGCACTGCTGCTGCACACACACAGTAAGGTGCAACAACAACAAGAAGGAGATGCACTAAGAACGAGAAGCAGCTAAATAACAAAAGAAGAAATTAAGGCAGCTAATTAATAACTATTGTTAACTATCCGTTTCAATTCGGAATTGCAAATTCAATAACAACTACAACAATAACAACGAGAACAACTACAAAATGTCATCTGTGAATGTGAACCAAAAAGAGAGTCCCAGTCGAGACTCGACAGCGTCCACATCGGGCCACATATCGATGATGGCGGAGAATACGTTGGAGTCTTTGTCGAGGGATTACAGTCTGGGCAGCCTCAATTCCGCTGGCAGCCAGGATGAGTTCTTTCGCTGTCGCGATCATGCGGACAGCGTATTGAAGCGTATGCAACTCTATGTGGACAGCCAGCAGCTGTGCGATGTCGTTCTCATCGCTGGCATTGATGGCAAACGGTAAATGGACGACGAAGCTGTTGCAATGCGCAAAAGCAATTTTCTCCACAAATCCCACCCAACCCCACCACACACTCTGCTCCCATTTGCCGCCCGGCATATGAACGGCGCCATCCGTCTGACCTTCACTTTAGCGCACTTCACTCGATTCTTTGTCTCTGTGTCGCCTTCGTACACCAGTTCTACAACAGTAGCAGCACCCGCAGCGACTGCGGTCGAAGCAGCAGCGTCATTCGAACAGTAAACAGTAAAATTGCGTTTACTCATGTTCTCTCTCTCTCTTTCCCGCTCTCTGTTTGGTTTGACATTTGATCGACTACGAGAGGAATAGCGAATTGGAGCGATGTTTCGTGCTCTGCACAGTGGTTCATAGTTCATTTGTTTTGCGCACATTCATGTTCATGCTGAGCACGACGCGCATTTTATAACATTTTCACCAACATCCCAGCTTGTCATATTTTGCTTAACGTATCAATACGTTTATTTTATTGAATCGATAAATTCGCAACAGACCCGTAGATAGTCTGATCATATTGTGTAAAGATCAGATCAGATAATCAAGGGAGTTGATTTATGCGACATCTTTCATGGCTTGCAGCTGTTGTCATAATATGCCACTCTTCTTTTGCGAGTTCCGCTTGTAAAACGTTTTTTAACCTGTGCAACCTATGCAAAATTGGAAATTATGGAATCTTATAAAAACAATATTTTTCAATTTGCTAAAACAATCATGCAATTCAATTTAGCAAATAGAAAGATATATATAGTTTTTTTTAAGATTCCATAATTTTCCTAAATAATTGTAATATAATTTGATGCTGTCAATAAAATCCTATTAAGTATTTCTTGAAGTTATGAAATTAACAAACGAAAACACGAACAAAAGCAAATTTTATATTTTTGTTTCCAAAATAGGCAACATACAGAGGGCTATTACACTTACACGACTAACCCTTCCCCCCCCCCTCGCCCTCTCCCTCCCAACACCCTACATTGTTTGCCAAGTTAACTTGTTAACAGGGCCTAAAAGAACAAGAGGAATACAAGCTGAATACAAATGCCCTTTCTATTTGGTACAGGGTGCCCGCTCATCGCTTGGTGCTATCAGCTTCGAGTGCATATTTTTCGGCGATGTTTACCGGATCGCTGCGCGAGACCAAGGAAAATGACGTGACCCTTGGTGAGGTGAATGGTGATGCCCTGCAGCTGCTCGTCCAGTACTGTTACACTGGTTTCATTGAGCTGCGCGAGGACACTGTCGAAACGCTGCTGGCCACCGCCTGCCTGCTGCAGCTGACCTCTGTGGTGACGGCATGCTGCAATTTTCTCGCCCGCCAGCTGCACCCATCCAATTGTTTGGGATTCGCATTCTTTGCGGAGCAGCAGAGCTGCACAACGCTACTGCGACTGGCGCAGGCGTACACCTGCCAGTACTTTATGCAGGTGTGCCAAAATCAGGAGTTCTTTCAACTAAATGCCGATCAGCTGGGCAAGCTGCTGTGCAGCGATGATCTCAATGTGCCATCCGAGCAGGATGTCTTCCACAGTCTGATGTCGTGGGTGCGCCACGATGCGCCCACTCGTGAGCAGCACATCGCCGAGCTGCTCGCCCTGGTGCGCCTACCCTTGTTGCAGCCATCATTTATTATGGATCACGTGGAGAACGTGTGCAGCGCCAACGAATGCCAGCAACTGGTGATGGAAGCGTTCAAATGGCATTTAATGCCCGAGCGCCGTTCGCGTATTGCCACCGAACGAACCACGCCGCGAAAATCTACTGTCGGCCGCTTGCTGGCTGTGGGTGGCATGGATGCACACAAGGGCGCCATCACCATTGAGAGCTACTGTCCGCGGCTGGACAAGTGGACGCCTTGGAAACACATGACCGGCCGCCGTTTGCAGTTTGGCGCCGCTGTTATGGAGGACAAACTGATTTTGGTGGGCGGACGCGATGGACTGAAAACGTTGCACACTGTGGAGAGCCTTGATCTAAACACGATGGCCTGGGTGCCACTCAATCCAATGGCAACGCCCCGACATGGCCTCGGCGTTGCGGTGCTGGAGGGGCCCCTCTATGCGGTTGGCGGACACGATGGCTGGAGCTACCTGAATACGGTTGAACGGTAAATAAATGCGTCAATCACATAGGTCACTAGTCAGTCACCCAGTAATCAAATTTGAATTGTTCTATTCCTGGCAGCTGGGATCCTATTGCGCGCACCTGGAGCTATGTGTCGCCGATGTCCTCGATGCGTTCGACCGCTGGTGTTGCGGTGCTGGGCGGTCGTCTCTATGCCGTTGGCGGACGCGACGGTTCTGTCTGTCATCGCTCCATTGAATGCTACGATCCGCACACAAACAAATGGAGCCTTCTGGCGCCAATGAATCGACGTCGCGGCGGCGTTGGTGTAAGTTCTGGGAAACAAACAAAACAAAAACCAACTTCAATCGAAATCGCAAACTAAAACACATTTAACGCTGCTTGCTTGCAGGTGACTGTTGCAAATGGATTCCTCTATGCCTTGGGTGGCCACGACTGCCCGGCCAGCAATCCCATGGTGTGTCGCACCGAGACCGTGGAACGTTATGATCCAGCTTCCGATACCTGGACACTGGTAACCAGTCTATGCTCAAATTTTGCAAAAACCAAAACTAGCATTCAAAATTCGAGATTGACAATTGTATTTTTGCAATATCAGTTGAAATTTGAATTGTTCTAAAATGATTCGTCCGGCCAAAGTTTCGCCGGATGAAATGCAATAATTAATATAATATAATATAATATACACTAAGACAACTTTCTCTCTCTCTGCCATTTGTAACAGATTTGCTCGCTGGCCCTGGGACGCGATGCGATCGGTTGTGCACTGCTTGGAGATCGTTTAATTGTCGTTGGCGGCTACGATGGCAATCATGCACTCAAGACTGTCGAGGAGTACGATCCGGTGCGCAATGGCTGGAATGAACTGACGCCCATGTCGTTACCACGTGCCGGCGCCTGTGTCGTTGCCATACCGAACATAATACCGCCAGCAGCTCCCCAGCCGCCTGCCAGTGCCACAGTTTAGTTAAACTTCAATTATTGTTGTTGTTGTTTTTTTTTGCTGTTGTTGTTGTAGTTCTATGTGTATGAGATGTTGTCTACTGCTTAATGTACTACAACAACACTGCTGCTGCTGCTGCTGTTGCTGCTGCTGCTGCTACTATTCCTATTACCTATTACCTATTACATTTTACTATTCTACTTGTACACCTACATATACCATATAAGAGCGCGATGCGCGTTTTGTGTTCTGGTGTGCGCTGCTCTGTTCGGGCCTGGCCTCGCCCAGTCCGGTCTGGCATTTGTTGGTACTTGGTACACTCGCACACACACACACACTCACTCACTCACATACACATGCACGCACACACTTACAGAATCAACTCATACTAGCTACGTTTTAATCCATGTTGCTCTGCTTTAAGAAGTAATCTCATCTGAAGTGAATCAAGAAACAAACAAAAAATCAATGCTCGAGCAACTGCACAGTGTGACCAGTAGTAACCAGTGACAAATGCATGCTGCGAGGCTTTCCGAACGCATTCCCAACTAATTCGTTTATATACATTCAAATATATATATATATACATATATATATATATATATATATATAATTATATATATTATATATGTATATATATTTATATTTATAGACTATTTTGATATTATAATTATTTTGTAATGTATAATCTTATTTGTTGTATGTAGTAAGTGTGTCTTAATTGTGTCCCTCGTCACATGCCATTTTCACATTTCATTTGATGTATGTCACCATCATCATTAAAATAATTCTCATGTCTACCCGTCGTACGCTTCATATACATACATAAATGCATGTTTTATCTGGTGATCTGGTTGAAAGTTCACTCGCCCACCCACAATTCACGATTTGCCTCCCACATTTAGTGATCCGTTTGTATGACAAATTCTTACTGAGTTAACTAAGTTCTGCTCATATGCATGCGTGTGAAGTGTACGACAAATACTTTGCTTACTACACATAGAATCATATATCATATATAGTTTATAGATAGAGCAAATTTACAACAACAAAAAATATCACTCACCAATGAGCAAGTTTGATAACGAGTATTAATAATTAACGGCATTTGCTGTTTATTTTGCACTCTCATTTTATAAACATTATTTTTATTATTATTACATAAGCTTATGTATATTATATTACAAGCATTTATTTCTAATTGTTTATTATTATTTTCTTTTTTTTCCCCCTTTTTCTCAACGTTTTTCTTACTGCATTTACGCGAATTTTTTTTAGAAAAAGAAGTGGATGCCAGTAAGATTGGATCCAATCTGCTATAGTCGTCGTAGACCTGTCGTATTTGTCGACTACTATAATATGTAATTATGAAAACTATAATTAGTTAAGCAAAAAAAAAAAAAAAACGAAATACAAAATGCCAACAAGCGAAAGCCAACACAAATGGTAACTTTTAAATATTACGTATTATTTTCTACAATCATATTTTTACACAACCAAAACAAAACATACACTACGCATATATGTATACACTGAATATGTATTTTTTGTAATAAAATATATCTTTTATTTATACGTTGCTAAATGCAACGGGAAATTGTAAAGAAGCTTTTTTTGTATCAACCGCTATTATCGATAAATTGATGGTATTTTTCTTCTTCTCGATGTACTATTGTCATATATCAGCATGTATCTCAGTCAATGGTTTCTATTCATTACTGACCCTTCAATTTACTGTGTGCGCAACGTGTTTAATATATGTTTCTGTCAGCTGATAGCATATTATGAATTCATCTGCGGTCACACAATTGTAGAGCCAAATCGTTTGGTATTTTTAGTATTTTTGACTCTTTTTTTTTTTGGTGGCATATTTTAGAACTTTTACATTATTGACATTGGATTGCAAACACAAATCAAATTAAATTCAAATCCAATTAGCAAACATTGGGACTGGCTAGATTGTCACAGTCGGCATCATGGATGCGGAGCAGCTGAAACGCCTTGAACGGAAGAACTCCGCCGACATCGATGACATACTCGGCCAGTTTAATACTAAGGTAATGCGTGTGTGCACAAGAACACACAACCCCCATTTTCCTGTGACTAATATGATGATGATGATGATGATTTGTTTTGTCGACGCCTGCAGAATGCGGACCTCCTGGTATTTGACAGCTATCACACGGACAACCAATGGCATGACCTCTGGCTGGCCATATTCGGTATACTTGATGATCCAACGCTGGCGCCGATGCACACGAAATGCCTAAACACAGTTCGCATATTAACCCGCGATGAGTTCAGCCTCAAGACGCATTACATCGAGCACGAGCTGGATACACTGTTATCGCTAGCACGCCTAGACACCAACGCCGAGGATGAAACTGAACAACAACAGCTAAGCGATGCCCAAACGGAAATTATGGGCGAATCGCTTAAATGTTTGTGCAACCTAATCTATCAGAGTGGCGACTGTCGTCGTTACTGTTTGCGCCAGAAATTCTGTCTGGATGCGGTTGTGAAGCGTTTGGGCAGCGCCTCATCAACTCGTTATCCGTGCACCTTGGAGTACTATGACATGAAGCTTCTATTTCTGCTCACCGCACTGGATTCAGCAGCGCGCACACGCCTCCAAATTGATCTCAATGGATTGACTTATATGACCAATTGGCTGGACGATAAGTTGACCGAGTCTGCTGTTGGCACAAGTGACGAGCAGCTGAACACCATCTGTGAGCTGCTCAAGGTGATGTTTACAGTAACTAGTGCACCAGACAAGAGTCCCAACGAGTACGAAATCCAAAGTCTTCATTTGACCGGTGTGCTGCGGGAGCTGCTGTTGCGCTTTGGCAGTCTCTCAACCGAACGGGAGCGCGCTGTAGTGACGCATGCAATTCACCTGCTCACAAACATATCGAGTAGCTGCCTCACCGAGCTCACGCTCAAGTGCAGCAATGCCGAGGCGGAGCCGGAGTCGGAAACGAAGAGTGCCGCTGGCGCCGGACAGAGACCGGGTAAGTGCTGTGCTCTGTGCTTCGAGAAGCGCAACGTGCGCAGCCTGGCAGTCCTATTGGACTATCTGCGCCGCGCACTCGACCAGCAGGAGAAGGAGGCCAGCTCCCACGAGCTGGTATCGCCGGTGCTGACGGTGCTCGTGAAATGTGCACGCAGCGATCGCATTCAACGACACTATTTACGAATGGAGATACTGCCGCCACTGAAGGATGTCAGTAAGCGGCCGGAGATTGGCAACGAGCTACGCAATCATCTGTGCCGCTACCTCACGCTGCCAGCGATGATCCTACGCGACCTGGCCGCCGAGCTGCTCTTTGTGCTATGCAAGGAGGATGTTGGACGCATGATCAAATATACGGGCTATGGAAATGCGGCAGGCTTGTTTGCCAAGCGTGGCGTCCTCGACTGTCGGCGTATTGAGGGCGCTGAATATTCGTCGGACAGTGAAGACAGCGACACCGAGGAGTACAAGCAGCAGCAGCAGTGCTTTAATCCAGTGCTTGGCTGTGTTGAACAGGCCAAGCCTAGTCCGCTCGATGGCATGTCCGACGAGCAAAAAGAATACGAGGCCCTGCAGCTGGTCAATCTGCTCGAGAAGCTGCGCAAAGATGGCATCGTGCAGCCGGCCCTAATTGACAAGGATGGCAAACCGCAGCCGCTGGAGCACATACTCCAGCTGCAGGAGGAGCTGCCACAACAGCAGCTTGAGCAGAAGCGCAAAACATAAATTTCGGCAAATGGCAAACAAAAAACAGAAAACGTTCAATATGCAAAAAACAATCGATAGGAGTCTTCCAAAACTCTGGAGGCAGCAGCAGCAGCAGCAGCAGCAACACACAAATGGATCACTGCTACCCTTTGTTCCACATATACACATACAAATATATATATGGCGGATGCAACATTTATGAGCACCGCTTCCAATCAAATACACAAATTGTAATTCCAATATACATACATTTACTGAGATAATAATATCAATATATACAAGCAAAAAGATTGTTAGAGCAGACGGCAATAGTTCGAGGGAGAGAGAGACAAGAAAAGGTTAAATAATTAATATGCGCCAGCAGTTGTGACTTCGTACTTGATTACTCTGTGTGTGGCATGCAACTGAATTTGTAATTGTAATTGATCTTTATTATATAGATATGTATTATCATTAACGTTTAAGCTCAACAGCCAAGCAACTGAAAGCAACCAAATGAAAAAGAAAAAGGCAAAGAAAATGTCGATGAATTCAAACAATTATTATTGATTATAAGAACGAAAGAATCGCGTATTATTTAGGATTAACTTCCATTCTGTGCATGCATCATATAAAAAATTCGATTAATAGAGCTTTATTGTGTTCAATCTTTTATAGTCAGCGGGCATAGTTGCCTACAAATTTGCGATTAAAGTAACGAATCCACTAAATAGTTGATGTATTTACTGCGTATACATACTATATATATATATATGAAATGTATTTGCTTGTTGCTGGTACTAACTATTATACTATGCTTAATAAATATTATCCATAAAACTCTTGCAAGATAATCAAATAACTTCTATATTTTTTTGGAGTGACTTACATTTAAATTATTTAGCCCAGATGGATATGATTTGTTCAATTTCAATTCAAGTTGCAGTTTGAAATTATAGCAAAATATATGTTAGGATGAGTTATAATTCCAACATCCTTGTTTAGTCTGACTAAACTGTGTTTAAACAAAACTGAGGCCCATCATTTAATTGACGTTTATAATTTAAATTGAAATTCATATTAAAAGAACATTTCATGCTTAATAATTAATAGCTTTAGAATTGTTTTGATTTCATTAAATATGATTTCACACATAAGATGAGATTTTATATGGTTTTGCGGTGATATTTCAGCGTTTTAAGAACATTTGATAGAGAAGCGTTTTTATAATTGTAGATCAACCTAATTCCAAGTTTAAACTCTATTCGACACTATGGCACATTTTATTTATATATTTATATATTTTAACGTACATTTAATTGTTTTTCAGTTGCTCGGAATCCACGATTTCGTTCGGATCCGCACGGTAGATAAGTACCTCCTGAAGGCGTAAAGACTCGTAATAAGGATGTGTGATTGGCTGTGATTGATGCCGTTTCTCCGGCTACTTCTCTCTCGCGTGAGGCTGTGCGCCTGGAAACGCCAAATTATTGGGATACACTCGCGACACCGGACGAATGTCCTTCTGGACGGGCATACAGTCGGTGCTCTTCTTGAGGGTTGACGACAATTGTCGTTGCGAAGATGCTGAGGCCATAGATTGGGCCAGATCGTTTTGGACATGGACATGCAACTGGCTGAACTTGTAGACGTTGCCAAGATTGGGTGGCTCGTAGGCATTGGCATTGCTCTCGTCGCGTGCGAGAAACTCGCAAAACTGCAACTGCTTCTGTTTGTCGCGCTTCAGCATTGAATTGCTGCCAGTTGCAGCAATTGGATTCTGGTTGACACCGGAATCGCATTGCGATGAGTTAACAGGTGGCGATGTAGTCGATGTTGATGTCGATGACGATGACGATGGCTGCAGCAATTGGCCGATCTGCGTGCAGAGGCTCTGCTCGTGAAGCACCTGCTGATTGTCCTGCACATAGTTAAAGATCTGTCGCTTGCACTTGTCCATCTCATCCTCCAGCTGGCGCAGACGCGAATTCAGGCAAAAGTAGGCAGCTGCATCCATCAGCTCCTCATTTTGCTGCTCGTGGGGGAAATGCTTATGCTGTGGATGAATCACTTCGTTCCTATAATTATTGTGAACCAGCTCCTGATGCTCCAGCTTGATCTGCTCCAATGTTACATTTATTTGCATGGCTTTTGACTGCATTCGCTCGATGGCTTGGCTGTGCGCCATTGTCAAGTGATTCAATTGGAACTCGGCCTGCGGTTCGATGTTATCTGTGGCCACGGCTACTGCTGGCTGCTCTGATTTCGTATTGGTCTGCTCGATTAACCTTTTAATCTTGTCCAGACGTCGCTGATTGGACTCCTTACGCGATTTGCGGACACGCACCGGCTGCTCAACCGTTGCTGTTGCTGCACCCACAGCGGATAGCTGCTCCCGATGCGGCGCCATCTGTGTGGGCAGTTCCTTGGCAGCAGTGCGACGCAACTGAGAGTTGGGTTCATTGGAATTCCGGTTGGTACGATGCAGGTGCGGCAAGTGCTTTTGTGGCTGCTGCTGCTGCTGCTGAAGCTGCAGCTGTGGACGCAGTTGTTGCTGTTGTTCCTGATGTGGTTGGTGTTTCTTTTGAAATTGCTGCTGCTGTCTGTGGTGCTTTCGCTGCTCATCCACCCAGCTCTTAGTCATATTGGATATAGACTGCGTGACGAACTCTGTTTGTCCAGCTGCATGGCAACTGCTGGCGACAGATCTATGATGTGAACTAATAGGAGGAGGAGGAGTTGGATGAGTTGGATGAGCATTTGACGTTTAAAAGCTGAGGCAATAAGCAAGTCATTGGCAAAGGCGAGGGCGCAGACGTTGCTGGTGAATTGTTTAAAGCGCGGCCAAACCCAGAACGGAGAGTCAACTCAACAAACATTGTAAACTCTTCAAATGACTTAGTCAAATATATCTGAACTGGTTCGATCAGATGCGTCTAGGCACATTTAATGATTGTGTGTACACAAAATGAGCTTCGCTTAAAAATAGATACATAGATATTTCCGAATTGGGTGAGTTTGGCTGGGATTACATTAACAAAGTTCATGGCAAGTGGATACACAGTATAATCGGTGTTTTTCGTACATTTTACCTTAAATCAAAGTCTTTATTATTCGAATGTGTTTTATGACAGACATTTGGTGATTTTAGTTAAAGAGTTTGACTTTAACATTGCTGCTTATGTATATAGATACTATTAGCTAATAAATTTTCCTTTTCCTTTTTGTTTTTTGTTCTTTAATGTTTTGTTGATCAATTGCAAACATCAGATGAATATATATACATATATATTTATATGTTTCCTTAACAACTTATTAGTTTTTCAAGATCTATTTAAATATTTGATGTTTTATTCATATTGGAAAATCGAAGAGCTTTATTCATAGTGTGCGGATTAAGGGATCTGCTGTAAAGCACATCTTTTCTGACCTAACTTTTAATATAGGTTTATTTTGAAGTTATTTCACTGATGGAATAGACTTCTCCCATGATTATATTGATTGCCTTAGTTTGCTTTTGCCCTTCCGGTTGTTTTCTTATTGACAATTTAGCTATAATATCTGAACTTAAAGAACTTAAGATATTCTTATATAATACAGATAATTTATCGAATATTCTCTTATTCTTATCCCTGCAAATGAATTTATTGCAATTGTGCAATGCGACGCGAAAGCGTTTGTGGATATGTTAATCGACGTTGAGCATCTCCAGAAATACGTGGTTGTAGTTGTTGTTGTTGTTTACCAATTCTGTTTAAGATTGAGATTGTGGTTAAGTTTGATGTTGATGTTGATGTTAACGTTGACGTTGACGTCTCCCGCTCACTTTTGTTGAGTGCCCATTGCTGCTGGTGTTGCCTACAGTTTGTTGCTGTTGTTGATTTTGTTTTCGTCTTGATTGATGTTGTTGATGTTTTAATCGCCGCCATCGTTGAGGTTGTTGCTGTGGTTGACGGTGACCGTCGATGCTAGGAGCGTCGACATCTGGAAAAGCGAGCGAGTAGCTAGAGAAGCTCAGCTCAGCACTCACAATACACAATACACAAAACACAATACACAATACACCCAACGCTGGCCCTGCCAATGCTACATTGCCACACAAGCCACAAGTAAACGGAAATCGTTGCGTTACTCACCTGGTTTTCGATACGGCTCGGATGACGTGCGTCAAAGCGGCTGCTGGCGGCTGTACATCGGAGCCAGTTGGCGGAGCTACGGGGGTCTTTGGTGTGGCGCTGCTGTGGCGAGCACTGGCGCGCAACTCGGGCGCAATCATCTCGTACAGCCGGGTGCGATAATCATTCACACAGTAGCGAATATCATCGTTGAGTGTCGGTTTGACCTCCGTGCGCAGTTCCAGGGTCGCCGAGGAGCTGCGAAAGCGAAGCACATACGGATGGGCGATCGACTCCTTGGCCGTTAGCCGGCCATCCGGATCGAGGACCAGCAGCGATTTGATCAACGACATGGCATCGTCACAGCAATACGGTATCAGCTCGTCCAGGGAGTGGCGACAATCCCGCACAATCTTCTTGCTAAGCAAAATCGAGCCGAAGGTGGCGCCGATCGATTCGATATCCCGTTCCGTTACATCGGGCAGCGCATTCACAATCTTCTCAATCTGCATGAAAATGTGGTTTATTTAAGTGCCACTCCTCGAAATCTGAAGAACACGTACCTGATTAATGGTGCTGCTACCTTGGAAAAGCGGCTTCTGGAGTATCATCTCGGCCAGTATGCAGCCCAGACTCCACATATCAATGCCCTTTGTATATCTATATGCAGAATTCAATTGTATTTGCTTATATTGTTATTGCTTATAGCTAAAATTAACCTGCGACTGGCCACCAAAATTTCGGGTGCACGATACCAACGGGTCGCCACATAATCGGTCAGCATGACTCCACTGTCCAGCTCATCCTTGCTTTCGTAGTCGGAGTTGGTGCGTCGCTTTACACACAAAGTTCGCGCCAGTCCAAAGTCGGCTACTTTGATTCTATATATATATAAAAAAGAAAAGAGCAGGATGTAATAAAGTAAGCATGAAAAAACCACATGCGGAATACTCGGAAACCAGTTTAATCCCAGCCGATAACAGATGACTTAAACATTATTGCTTTAATCAAAGTAGTATACATTTTTCCAAGGTTTTTTTTTTCTTAATTTAAAAATCTGAACTTTACAATTTTGAGACTGCCTCGGTGTTATTTTGAACATTAGTTTGGATATGAAATAAAGGCAATTCCTGTTTGAATGAAGAATCAAATATGATTCCACTCGCAGCATTATTGCATTAATCTATGCTTAATATACATCTATATCCTTTTGCTTTTAACATTTTCACAACATTACAGATGAACATGTATATAAAGATTTGAAACATTTCGATCCTTGGATTGCAACTTACCTGCACTTGTTGTCAATCAGAATGTTGCTTGGCTTCAGATCCCTGTGGATGACGTTGCCCGAGTGCATATATCTGATCGCATTGATCAACTGATAGGTGACGAATCGCTTGTGTATGGCCCTAAGGACGTTACCCTTTCTGATAACATTGTGTAGATCGCTGTCCATGTACTCAAACACCAAATAAAAGTCCAAATTGTTTGACGATCTGGATTCAGTACAAACACAATAATGTAGTCAGTCTCAAGTGTATGATTATATTGTAACCATCCTGTGGAGGGCACTCACTTGAATATATCCAGCAGACGGATTATGTTGGGATGGGGGCGAAAAGCGCGTAGAAAGGCAACTTCGCGATAGGTGCGTTGGGCATCGGTTTCATCGCGGAACGCATCGTAGATCTTCTTGAGTGCCACAGTGTTGTTTTGGCGCTTGTCAATGGCTTTCCATACAATGCCGTAGGCGCCTTTGCCCAGGCGCTACACAAAAACAAATTAATGTCAATTCGAACATCCGATAACCGATAACGATAACAGATAACCGATAACAATGCTTACCTTTCGCACGTCAAAATAACGCTCAACATTTTGATCTAACTCATAAATGCGTCGCTCCTGAGCTTTTGATCGTTCGGCCATTTGATTCTCTTTTTCTATATCCTTGCTGGACTCGTCGTGCTTAAGAACTGAATTGCCTTTGTGGCACCGCATGTGGTAAGCCTCCTCAATCTCTTGCGGCCGCTCAACCTGCCTCTGCTGCTGCTGTTGCTGCTGCAATTGCAGTTTCCGATGACGCTGTTTCCGCTTTTCCACCTCCAAGTCTGAAACACCAGTGAGACTTTCAATACATTCAATTGCTTGCTTTCGTTCTGGACGGACGCCAGCTTGCAGCTGGGATGGGTTGGTTGGTTGGTTGGATGAGATGTTAATAGTGCTTGGCTGGTGTGGGTGCATTGAGTGTTAAGTTGTTGCCGTTGGAACTCCGTTATGGAGCATCGCGTGTCGCAGTCGGAGTCGGATTCGCATTTGCATTTGCATTCGCATTCTCAGAATCGTCTCGCATATGCAAACGGCGCTCAAATATGTACATGTGCACATAAAGCAACAACAAATAAAAATAAAATGAAGCAATTTGATTGAAACTGAATTATTGTTAGATCGATCGAAAAGCGAAAGTGGGCGACAACAGCAAACAAATACCAAATACCAAATAGCAACAACAAATACAAATGTGAGCAAGAGCACGACCAGAAGCAGAAACAGAAACAGGAGCAGGAGCAGGAGCAGGGCAAACAGTTTTGGCCTAGCAATGCCTACAAATGGACAAATGGAACCAGGACCCTCAAGTGCCCCGGGCAACGTTGTTGTTGTTGTTGTTATTGTTGCAACAGTGGCAGCCCCACAAAAAACAATCAAACAACGCCTCAAATGCCACCAGAAGTCTCGTGCATGCAATCGAGAATCGAGCAAAATGAATTTGTTTAACAATAAATATGCCCATAAAGTATAAATATATATATCTATATATATATATATATATATTACACTGTCCAGGAAAACAAAACAAGATTGGTCTACCGGTCTTCCGAATGCGAACAAAATAATAATAATAGAAATATTTTGAAAATATATCAACCACACGGGATCAAGCAATTATTTATATTCAGCTAATGTTATTAGTTAATATTATTTGTTAGTTTTATGCAGCATGGTGTTAAAGTGCTTGCAATGCGACAAATGGTGAAGTGAAGTGGCAGCAAAGTAGAATTTACCCGAAAATCAAGTGGCAAAATGCATGTCACTTACCTGTCGACTCTGAAGGATTGGGGCCAGCTTAAGCTGGGAGAACTTGCTGTTGACGTTGGCGTGTTGCTGGCGAGGGCAGCTCGTCTGGGCGCCTGGACAAGCCAATGACAATTGAAATAGGAGCACAGTTTAACTAGAAGGTTAGCCTCCCCTCGCAATTTCCATATGATGAAGACACAACAACAACAAAATCGACAAAAATAATGTAAACTATATATGTATATATAATAATAATAATTGAGATTACACTCGAATGGAAACTGCGAAAGATGCCGAAATTATTACAATAAAAATATAGAAAATTATATGAAATTATTATAATATATATATATATATATATAAATGCACTTACTTCTTAGAAGTCCACAATTTAGAATAATGACACACCAATGAATCGACACAAAATTGCAGTCTGTGATCGATTGATTGATTGATTGATTGGTTGTTGGGTGGATCAGTTTCAGTTTCAATATTGGTTTTCAATTTCGTTAGTCGGTTGCCGCCAATATAGCGCTGATTAACCGAATCGTGACGATTGTGCAGCCGCAGCGACTTTAAAATTTGAATTGTATTATTTTTGCAAAACTTTTGAATCGCGCACTTCAACTTAAAGAAGCATATGCAACCATAGAATGGGGCATGTATGTATATACCGCCGCGGATGACTCCCGTTTGTGATTTTACACTAAATAATATTGAATAAAAAGTTGTGTACAAAATTGTGTCCGATTTTCAAGTTGTGTGGATGTTATACACAAATATGGATGCCAATGTCTACGATATTCCCAAAGATCGGAACGACTACTAAGTTCTGACTCCTGATTCAAATCGGAAACTGACTGACAACGATTCAGACTTGCATACAGAGGCAGACACACACACATACACACACACACACACACACACCATTGTGTGTAGTTGTATCTATTAACGGCTTTGGTGGTTATGGTTATTGTTCTGCATCGTTGTCCCACAGGACACATCATTCACCTACACCTGCCCGGCATTTTAACAAAAGGATTGGCTTGGCAACCGCATAAATTTTTTTGATCGATCCCCAAATCATTATAGCTTTCAATTTCTATTTCTATTTTATGCTGCTTGCTTTCTCTTTTGCCCTGAAAATTTCCAAAAAATATTGCTGTCAATCAACAGTTTTTAGACTGCTCAAGACGAATAACAACAAATTCGAGTGAAATAGTTAAATATATTTGAAAACAAAATATAAGAAATCTTAAAATGGGTTTTTTTTTTTAAGTTAAGCTTAAAACTGTATACAAATCATATTCATAAATTTGTGGAAAATACTTAAAAATGATTGATTACAATTACGATTTTTTTATTCAAGAATTTCGACTGCCCTCTTTACTCTCGTGAAAAAGACAACAAATTAGAGCGAGACAAATTTGGGATCACTTAATATTTATATAATTTAATGATGTTATTCATTTATTGCTTCGCCTAATTTTTATATATTTATATTCTTGAATTTAATATACACTTGCAGAGGGCAATAATAATTGTGTCATGCATTTAAATAGACCTCTTCGAGCCCATAAGGTATATACATATATTCTTGATCAGCATCACTAACCGAGTCGATATAGCTAGCCATATCCAGCAGTATAAAATCAGATGGGATATATAGCTGCCATTATTAATTCTTGCATGAAAAGCTTCTCATTTCATTATATATATATATATATATATATATGAATAATCGGTCGACATGCTTTGTATTTGTATATATAGTTAAATTTCGGTTTGGGTCTACAAGATGATCTTCTTTCTTGTTTTAGTTCAACTTAAGACCTAAGACAAAGATCATATTTATATATTAAAATATGTATTTGATAATAGCATGTGAATGTTGAATGAAATGAAAGTTGTACAAAGGATTAAGTAAATGAACATTTTATTGAATCCATCAAGCAAAGAACAAAATTGGGTGTCTGTATTTGTGTGTGTGCGTGTGTGTGAATGATATAAGTTCGAGTGGTTAGCACAGTGAAAGCTGCCGACAGGTTGCTATCAATAAACATATGTCTGATGCTTAGTTTTCAATAACAAACGGAGGCGCCCCAGTCAATATGTGGCACTTAGCAACCTCCTCAGCACTGAGACAGAGAGAGAGAGAGAGACAGAAAGAGTGGTTAAAATACAGAGACAGATAGTGTGTGTGTGGCAGTGTTGATCGGGTTGCTGGTGGTAACAAACAACAAACGACAAACGCCTTATTGATAATTGCATACTTACATATATTTATATATCCATGGTGATCGGGTGCGGCGTATATGTCTTATAAATAATTGATAAATGTTTGTTTTTGTGTGTGCAGTTTGCAGAAAAGTGTGTGTGTGAGAGAGAGAGAGAGAGAGAGAGAGAGAGAGAGAGAGAGAGAGAGAGAGAGACTCACAAGGAAAGCTATCTTAATACAAGGTGATCTATGATGTATCCTCGTCCTCCTCCTCGTCCTCATCATCGTCCACGTCCTCATTCTCGTTCACATCCTCATCATCATCCCCGTCCGATTTTTTCTTGCTTTTCCTCCTTTTGTTCTTTTTCTTGTTTTTACGTCATTGCCTGTGCTTCTTCATTGGGGTAAGCTGCAGTTGCTGCTGCTGCTGCTGTTGCTGTTGCAATAATTCATGCTGCTGCTGCTGCTGCTGCTTTTGCTGTTGGTGCTGCTGCTGATGCTGCTGCTGATGCTGCTGCTGATGGTGCGCCTGTCGACGCTTCACCTTCTCGAGCTCGGCAAAGTGCTCCTTCTGTTTGCGGACAAGCTCGTTCATCACCTCGTGATTGTAGGTGGAGTGCAGCATCAGTCCAAGCAGATTGGCACGCGAGCTGAGCTGCTGTCTCAACAGTCGCTCCTGCTCCATCAGATCATCCATTTTGAGCCATTGACGCACACGCTCCAAGTCGATCTCGGCCCGTCGTATCTTCTCCCATGCATAGTGCTTGAAGCAATTCTTTTTGGGTGCGCGACAAAACTCACCGGTGCGATTGAACACATCTTGAACGAGCGGCGAACCACACACATCCGTATCGCTCACCTTGGGATCCTTACTGTGCTCCGGGCAAAGGACGCGCAAGCGTTTGCAATACGTCTTGCTCGCCGGATTGTAAAAGTCACAGAACATATTGTTGCCCTCCATGCGCGTCTGGAAAATGCTGCCGAAACTGGCCTGTGACTCGTATTTGTTGAAGCATTTCTCCATGTGCTTGATGGCTGTGCGCGAGTGTATCTCATGGCCGCATGTAATGCAGTACATGCTCTGCTCATCCTCGACATCGCCGTTATCCTGTGGCCGCTGTGTATCGATTGGGCTGCGCTTGGCCCGCTCCACAATCATGTTGAGCTCCTCGACACGATTCTCGAGATGGGCGAGTGCGAAGCGCACCAGCGTCTGCTTCTGTCGTATAATCTCGAGCTGCTCGCGATTCTCCTCGGTCGCGTGACACGGCGTCAGATTCCATTCTTGCAGACGCTGCGGCAGCACCTGGAATATACGATTCGTGGCTAGATTGAAACCGCACTTGTCGCTGCAGTATTTACTTTGCGGTCGGGCTTGACAACGGCAGCTGGGCCCATGACACTGCCGCAACCCCACCAGCTCCGGATGTACAAATATTTCCGGACTGGCCTCGCGGACCACTTTCGCTTTACGCTGTTGCTGCTGCTGCTGCAGACTGTTCCTTTCCCGCTTGCGACCCGCCGCCGTTGTCGTTGTGGTTGCCGATTGATTTTGGTTAGCTGTTTGGATCACACAGTTCCGATAGATGCAGCGCGGCTTGTGGCCGACACGTTGACGGCATGCGTCACACTGATTGCAATTGGGTCGCCGGCAGCCCTCGCAGGTGCCACAGCGTCTGACCGGTTTTGCTGTTGATTCCTTGGCGGTGCTATTCTTTCGGCCACTCGTGGTACTCGAACCGCCCGCCGAACCCGAGGCAGACGTTTGGGCGGCCGTCGCATTTATTGCGCCCAAATTGGCATTGCTTGCGGACGCTGTGCCAGAGGAGACGGCAGCAGCCATGGCCGCAGCACGCTCGGTGGCAACCAAACGAAATACGGTCTGCAGCTCGGGATTCTCCTTTTTGCAGCGCTGGCAAAAATACTGCTTGATGTGTTTGGCCTCCTTTTCGGTGATGCCAATGCAATTGCCATGATACCATTCCTCGCAGCCATCGCAGCCGCTGCAAAAATATAAAAATAAATAAAACAAAACAAAACAAAAAGCAAAAGAAACGGAATCTCAATGCAATTGGTTGAATGAATCCATCAATCCATCCACCACTTACATCATGAATCGGGAGCAGTCGGATGTGCGGCATATGCAGTAGGCCTGATCTTCCTGCTTGAGTATTGTTGCTATTTTCGATTTTCGCTCGGGCAAGTCGAATTCCCGTGCAATCTCCTCTTTCTGTGAATGTTTTCGCAAATGGTTGAGTTCATATAGCTCGACATATATTTTCATAATTGTTTTTTAATAATTACCGATCTTTTGTATTTTCGTTTCTCCGTCATGGTGCTGCAGGCCACCAGGTAAACTCCGCCACCCACAAAACAACAATAGCGATGTGCACTTAAGGCTGACGGCTTATCGATAAATCAGTACATCGATTATACATATTTAAGAGCTTCGTGCCGAAGACTGCAATTATAAATTAATTAAATTATCTGAATTATATAGTTAAAAATAATAATAATAATTTAGAATATAATTGTGCTATCATTTAACAAATAATGAACAAGGTACAATACTATAATTGAACTTATTTATTTATTTAAAAATTTCAAGTGTGGTCACAATGTGACCAATTTGTGGAGGTCAGACGATTTCACGCAGAGTATTTCATATTTGTTAGTATGGATTTGTGCTATATACCATATACGATGTACGGTCACACCTCATCCAAATAACGAAAATGTGTTAAACAAGAGAACAACAAACAACAAAGTATATCAATTCAGAAAAAATAGCATGGGAGTGACAGTGCTACAGCCGTATCCATTGCCCGAGGGCAAATCCGGGGCCCACATCATTGATCATCTAGGTAAGCGTCTGCTGTCACTGGGCGCCACACATGCTGGCCAATTTTTGGTGGACTGCGAAACGTTCATCTCAACGCCGCAGCATGGGACACCGACACGAGCCGTTCATGTGCTCCACGACTCGGAGTTTCCAGCATCGACTTTCTCCATAATTGACAATGGCACTGGCAAACAGGTGGCACTCGTGGCCGATGCCATTTTCGATCTGCTAATGCTAAAAATGACATCGACATTCACATCCAAGAAGCAGACAAAAATTGAGTCACGCGGCGCCCGCTTTGAGTATGGTGATTTTGTGATCAAACTGGGATCCGTTACCATGATGGAGCACTTCAAGGGCATACTGATCGAGATTGAGTACAGGCCGTGCATAACGCTCTCGTATTGCTGGGAAATGATACGCGAAATGCTGCAGGGCTTCCTCGGCATCAATGTGGCCAAGGAGTATCCCACATATTTCACCACACAGACGATCATGAATGCGATGGGGCAACAGCAGCTGCACGCCAAACAGAACGATCTCTATGAGCCGATGGACACCGTTAAGCAGTATCTGGAGCACTTCACCAACTATCGCAAGCATGTCCAGCTGCACGGCGGACTGGGCAGTTCGGGTCTATCGGTCAATGGCCCGGTGCTGATGCCCTCGACGGTTGTCGGTGTTGGCATGGGGCGTTCCTGATGCGAGGTGAAGCTGGAGCCGCCAGATCTCGCCTAGCAGTATCCAGCCACATTCTTCAACAGTTAAAAATATAAACAGGAAACAACTAAACTCAGCTCGAAATTTGAATGATTTTGTTCATCTTGTATTATCATTATTATTTTATATTTTTTATTATTTTTTTTTTAACATAATAGTTGTATATATATATATATATATACATATATATATATATAGTATATGTATATGTATGTGTATGTTAATATCTTATCATTTGTGTATATGCAAGTTCTCGCACGATAAACTTTCTTCTGCAAAGTACAGTTGCGTCCAATGCGTTTCATGTGTAAAAAAAAAAAAAAAATATTGGAATTTTTCATTCTCAAGCAAGCGCAAAATGTAGTCGAAATATTTTTACAAAATAGCTCTTCAACAAATTGTTCACGTGTCTCCATTTATGTACTTTCAAACTGTTATACAAAACAATAGCTTATAATTTAAAAATGCGCAAAGTAGGCGAGCCAGAAAACGATATCGATATAATTCGTATATTTATTAAATAATGATAATAAAATTTGAAGTCTTACAATAACAAAAATCATGGCTTCTGCGTGTTGGAAATTTAATTATTTATGCAATTGTGTGTAATGGAAAACAACAAATATTTTCGACGATACTTAAATTTAAATTTGTATTTATACTTTTCAAGTGTGCCACAAATAGTATATTTAGGCATTATTATTATGCATTTAAACGTGATTTTTTTTTTTTGCTGTTTACTTTTGCTCAAATATTTCTCAATAATCGTAATTTAATCTTCTGAAACTACCATTTTTTGTTTAATGTTTCATGATTCTTCTTAAACGTAGTTGTTGTATATCATATTAAATTGTAGTTGTGTGTTACGCCTAGTAATAATAACGGTGTCTGTGTGTTCATGTGTAGGTGTGTGTATGTGAGTGTAACTGTGTGTGGGTGTATAACAGTTCCGTATAAGTAAATATGCATGCATTTGCAGTTTCGGCTGCAGCTCCGACGAAATTTACTCTCAGCACGTTTCGTGTGTTTCGCTCGGGATCCCTGCTCTTTTCCTCTCTGTTCTGCTGCTTATGTATGTAAGCTGTTTCTGTCTGTCTGCCTATAGATGTGTGCTTGTGTGTGTGTGTCTGTGTTTACTGCTGATTTTATTTATTCATTCGGCTTTTGCCGATGTTTTTATCTTTTGTTGCAATTGCCGCTGGTCTTGCTGTTTATTTTTACAAATATTTTAAAATAAATTTTATATGTATGTATGTAGATAAATGTATGTATGTATATATTATTCATATAGTTTAAACGGAGATCAATTTCCGATTGATGGTTGGTTGTTTGTTATGTGCTTGCGGTTCTTTTCTTTTCTTCCCTACCCTTCTCGTTTATCTTCATCTTCATATTCATGCTTTCTTTGAGGATGGATGTCCACTTTTTCTTGTATAGATGGTCCAACAACAAAAACAACACTAAATACACAATTTTCGCACTTTACTTTTAGTTGTTCTTCTCTCGTTTCTCTCTTTTTCGTATCTTATCTGATGTTTTGCTGTAGTTGCTGCTGCTGCTGTGATTGCTTGCGTCGCTGATTTTGTGATATTGTTTAATGTCGATGTTGTTGTTGTTGATGATGTTTGTGTTTCTGTTTCAATTGAAGCGGAGAGAATTCAATCAATCCACGCTCCTTTTTAGTCGCGCATCGGCAAGGAGGCCGGCTTAATGTGACCCCCATCGCCCTCAGATACAAAGCGCTTGCGTCCACTGCAAAGAAACCAAACAAATTATAATAAATTTATCTAACAAATATGTATGTGAATCAACTAAACGTTAAATTGTATATTTATTTATATTTTATCAAATATTGCAACGTAAATATCAATTTCATACGACCATTGCAGCATTATGCAATGTCAAAATCAAATCAAATTCGGCACATTACAAAAATGCATTGCAAAATTTGGCAAACAAAAAGAAATCTGTATGCGTTAAGCGAATTTGCAGCGGAGTTCATTCAACCGTTGACCCTTTTTCACTCTCTCTCTCTCCTCTCAACACAACACTGAACGAAAAACAGCGGCGACAAAAACAGCTGTGCAACGACAACTAACTAACGTGCACGGTCGGGGGTGGAAGAGGAGGAAGTGTGGGGTGGGGGCGGGGGAGGGGGTTGCACTTCAAAACTAGTTTCACTGCGTGCACACAAGCCAACAAACAACAGCAAGCCACTGGTTTATCTGCGGGCTAGTATTCAATTTTAACCTACATCAACATGAAAGCTTTATATATATACAGATGCGGTCAAAATAATAGTAGTGGAAACAAATGCTTTGGAAAATTTAAAAAATAAATACTTAAAACATAGTTAAAAAACTATAAACATTTTATTTAAATTCACGCAATCAACACTGAAGATAAGTAAGCATTTAAAATAGCTTTAAAATTAAAAAAATAGGAAAAACCCAAATAAAATAAAGTATTTATTATATTTAAATTTATCATTATAATAGTAGTCAAATAATAGTGAAGTTTCCCTTTCTAAAAACTAGATATGATGAGTGCATATTTTTTACCACGTTTAGTATTTGGAAAATAATAATATTTTAAGACATTGCCAGATGAGAAACGAAATATTTTTGGTTTTGCAGAATTGCATTTTTCCTTCAATTGAATATTTTGAAGAGGTCTCTAAATCGAGTCACATTTTTATTACATGCACTACTATCATTTTGACCGCAGCTGTACGTATGTATGTATGCACGTACATATAAATTGTACATACACATGTATGCACGTACACACATATAAATAAACTAAGTACAAATAACAACAGGCTGCAAATGCAATTCGGAGGCTGGCGGATCGGCTGTGAATAAGGTTGGTGGGGGGTGGGGAGGGGTAGGGGATCGTGTACGATATTGCGACAGATAGAGCAACTATAGCAATTCAAAACATTGTCGTAATTCGTTTGCGCTCCCGACTGCAGAATGCTCTGCTTCGACTGCCTGAATCGAACTTAGATATATTATATATTAAGCACATATACATATATGTATGTATATATATCTAAATATAAGCTAATCTATAAATATATATACATGTATATAGATGCATATGCTTTCAATGTAGCGCAAGTTGCAATTATAATTCAATTATAGTTTTTAGCAAAAGTTACCAAACAAAAAATTAAATCTTCAACCGATTAAGATGATATTAATGTAATTTCAAATCTGAATGCAGATTAGTAATTTGTTTTATTTTTTTTAAGTTTTGAATTTATAAATATTTTGTTTAATTTGGCATTATTTGATGTCCAAAAGTGTACAAGTGAAAAAAGTGTTTTTCTCTATGACCAATTTGTACAATTTTTGTAATAATAATTCGTCAATGCAATTGTAAGCATATTTTGATGTATATACACCCCTCTATGCATTTTCTAGGGTATTGCGAGCTAAGTTGTCGCGTCGGCGTTTGTTGGTGTGTGTGTGTGTTTGTCAGTGTGCAAAGTGAATGCTTCTGTTGTTGTTGTTATGGCTATGTTAAGTGCCAAAGAGCAACAGCCGCAGCCAAGGCGAATGCAAAATGCAGTTACAACAACAATAACAGCAAAAGCAACAGCAACTGCTAAGCTAACAGCGCAACAGCAACTACAACTGTCCATAGACCGACGACGCCGACTGTCTGCTCGTTGCTTTTTTTGTTGTTGTTATTGTTGCTGTTGTTTTGTGGGTGTGGCAGCAGGTCGATAACAGCAGCAAACTGCAACTATGACTGGCAGCAACAACAACATCAACAAAGGCAACGACAGTCGCCATTTTTTTTTTACCTTCACCACATCACTTACGACGATCTTGAGCCACATGCAGGTTGTTGCACCACCAACACCACCCATTAACTTAACAACAGCAACTACTTGTAACATCAATGCCAACTTTGTATAGATAGACATGTATTTGTATGTGTGTGTGTGCTTGTGTATGTATGAGTGTAGATGCGCCTAGTGATACGCAATCGATAAGTGTTATCGATAATAAACAAACTCGTGTGTTTTGTTGACTGGAAATTATAAATAAATTGCAAGCGAATCAATTGGACGAGTTAAATAAGTGGTGCAGGTGCTACTATACGTCAGCAATAAATCTAACAATCTTCAAAACCCTCAACAATAATAACAATAAAACTGTTTAGCTTTATCTTTTCGACACACCCACCCACATAAATATTTACACTTTCAATTTTTACACATACACACATCTCTATGTTTGTGTGTATGTTACGCTATTCTTAGATTACACTTTTGTATGTATGTATGTTTTTGTGTATGCCTGTGTGTGTGTGTATGTGCAGAGCAAAATAATACGAGTTATATAATATCGTAAACACTGTATTTGAGAACAACACGTTTGAAACGGAGCTTAATCAAGATTCTTAAATCAACTCGTTTAACTTTTTGCAAGCGAACCGGTAAAAATATATCTTGAAATACACATAAGCAATATACATGCATATTTATAAATACAAATGTATTTTGTGATCAAAACACAGCTGACTCAAATTTGTGTGACTATTTGTAAGTTCTCTAATACAAAGTAAATAGCCAATAAAATATTGAGTATTTTCGTGTGAATTTTACATACATTGTGTCTACCTTTAAAATGTCAGCTAATTCTTTTGGACAACATATCAAATTATGTATACGTATTTGTGCACACATACAGACACATGCTAAAACAAAAACACACAACACACACACAGACACATATACATAGCTAACCGGCGCCTGATAAACCGGCCCCACAATCAACTTTAGCGACTGCCCCAACTTAACGTAGACGCCGACGCTGACGACGGCGGTGACAGAGACGACTGACTACGCGTCAGCACAAAACCAAACTGCGCAATAGAAATTTCATAAACAAACAGTCACACACATATACACACACCATATAAAAGTGAGAAATTGAGCCAAAAGCAAAGGAGAAAAACAAAAACAACAGCCCGAAAAAGCGAAGAACGACGCGACGACCGTCACACAATAAATAATAAACAACAAGCAAGATGCAAAATGCCGGCAAAAAAAAATGATTTACATATACATAAATATGTATTTATTTGCGTGTGCAATGTATATAAATAAATACATATATAAATACGCACATATGTATATATTTATGTGTTTGTGTGTGTGTGTGTGCATACATGAGTATACGAGAGCCAGAAACAATAATAATTACAGAAAGAACAAAACAAAATAATGTGCCATATATTGTATATACCGTTGACTGGGGCGGGGGGAGAAACGCAATGACTGACAAAGATTACGTAAAAGCAAATTGTTTTTTTGTATATTTTTTTTGTTGCTTATTTTCTGTTTTTTATTGCCTGCTGTGCTACCTTGTTGTTGTTGTTCTCGTTGTTGCTGGTGTTTTGTTTTTTGTTATTTGTCTGGTGGCTTACAGGTGGGATAGTGAATTTATCAACACAAACAAACACACACACACACACATTCGCCGTTATATACGGGGTAGGGGGAGGTACTTACCGGGATGGCACATTGTTGATTATCTTGTCAGTTAGGAAGCCGGCACGATTACAGCGCTCCACAAATCTATCGAGTATTATATACGCCAATGGCACGTCGAGCACAATGTCCGCCATATCGTCGTAGACGCGCATGAAGCCCTGCCGAGTACACAAATCCAATAAATATTATATATACACATATATTTAGCCCTATATATATATATATATATATATATAAAAGTTTTTCTTTATCTTTTTTGTTTGTTTGTTTTTTTTATGTTGAGTGTTCTTGTTATTAAATTACAATGCGCAATGATTCGAATTTATAATGAGAAATTCGCATTCTCGATTTCTGAAAATAGCCAACTGATATTCGTATTACAAATATTATATGATATTGTATATATACATATATATATATATATGTATATAATGGAGATTGAATGTTTCTTGAACGATTTACGACGGTTTTTTTTTTTTAATGAAATGAATGGTTTCGCTAGTCGAATTGATGTAGATGAACAATTGTGTAGAGAACTAACCTGCTCCATGCCAGCCGGTAGAACGAGACATGTTAGATCCAGCGATTTGAGCAGCTCACACATGGCCTCCTCGGTGGTCTGGCTGAGGGATTCGAGGGTCATGACAATGGCCTCATAAACGAGCTCGTGATGATAATGGGGCACCTCGAGGGCGCGCAGACAGCGTTGCGCCTCGGCAACGTCACGCGACGATAGATACTCCTTAAGGAGGAGCGTCATCTGCTTTGTGATGGTCTTCACCGGTCGCAGTGGTCCGCCCATGCCCCACACATTGTCGAGATGGGCCCACACCTGCTTGTGGATCAGGGCGTCGGCACGTCGCAATGCCTGCTCGGAATACACGCTCAGATGCTGATGCTCCTCCGGTCGGCTGACAAACTTGGGCGGCATACAATCATCGGCGATGGCCCGGGCCATAAAATTGGCGAGCATGACGGGTGCCTCGGGCGTGTCCAGTATGAGATCGGGCAGATTGTCAAGCAGCATATTGAAGCCCTTCTCGATGTCCTTGCCGGTGATGACGCGACCATATAAATCGGATATCAACACGGATGTCATCTCGCGCTGCGAATCCTTGTGGTCCATGGCAATCTCGACGAGAATGCTGGTGATATGCTCCCGCAACGGACTCTGCAGTATCTCATCGAAACTGACGGCCACCTCATGGGTATCCCCATGCTCATAGTATTCGAGAACAATGGGCTCGGCGAGCTTGAAGAACTCCTCGGGCGTCAGTTCGGTAATCACTTCGCGCAGCTCCACATTGCGATCGTTACACTCGCTATCATAATTGGGATCATTCTCATCCTCATACACCTCGGCGAGCGCCTCCGAGCCGGGCAGTCCCCAAACCCCCTTGCCACCGGCGCCGCCTTTTTTGGGCAAGCCCCGACCCCGAGTCAAATTGCGTGATCTTCGGCTATTCTTCCAGCGACGATGCGGCACCACATAACCAGTTGCGGCGGGCAGTACACCATTGGCCAGAATGGATACCGTCGCCGCATTATTGCCACCGGAATTTGGTGAGCCACCGCCAACAGCAGTAGCGATGCCTCCATTGGTCAGCAGCGATGTTGTTGAGATGCCACTGCCACCACTGGCACTGCCGCCTGTGCCGCTGCCGCTATTTTGTCTTTGGATGAGGCGCTTTGCCTTGCGTTTGATGCGACCATCGTGAGCACCACCATCTCCGACGGGCAGCGGTTTCTTCATGTTCCCGCCATGAAGATGATGGCCATTGGATGCGCCACCATTGAGTTCGACAGCCTCAATTTCATCATTTAGCTCACGTTCCACGGAACTCTCCTTGGAATCGGTGCCGTTGCAGACGACGCCATTGGCATGTTTCTTAATGTTCGACTCCAGCTCCATAATTAAGTTTCTCTTCTCTCAATATCCCCTCTCTCTCTCTCTCTCTCTCGATCTCGATCTATCTCTCTACCTTATTTGTAATCTATTTTTTTAAATTTTCTGGAGCCGTGCTTGGGAGTTCTTTTCGCTGTGTTTTTGAGATTTGGTTGATTGATTGATTGAGTGTTCCTTGTTGTTGTTTTGAGTCTCTGATCGGCCGTCAGGTCAGTTCTGTATATATATAAATAAAGATATTGTAAGTGTAACATTAGTCGGTGCGCGCTGAACTGAACCATAACTTTTATATATTTATTGAGATCAGAAAAAAAAAAAACAAATGTGGAGAATTGCCGCCATATCCACAATGTATATGTATATACAGTGTGAATAAAATAAATTCGTCTTACCACAAATCTATTTTATCCATTGTATTTTTTTTTTGAGCTTAGACGATTGACAGTTAAATAAAATGCTTTAAAAATGCTCTTGTAACTCTAACAGTCAAGTCGAATTTTGCTAAAAATGAAAAGCTCATAAATATCACATAAGTTTATTATGATCAATTTCTAACGACTCTTGCACAAAACACATCAACATTATTATTTATTTTTATTCTGAATTGCAAATTAAAACATTTTACACACATATTTTGCAACACTAACACGCTCTTTCTACACACTTCTCTCGTTCATCGCATACAAATTTACCGTACACAAACATATGTAGATATGCATGTAAATACTACACACATGCAAACATCTCTTTAAGCACATTTTGATTTGTATTCCTCTACAAGCAAATCGACAGACGACAGACGACACACTAGATTAGAAAAACACAGCAATAACGATCCGTTTGGCGACGATCACCTTAAAACTAAAAATAAACAAATATTTACCTATGTGTTCGTATGTGTACATATATACACATGTATTTGCTTTTGTTTTGTTTTTTATTATTACATTCGTTTACATATTGCGAACAAGCTGCTATGTATGAAATGCAAATGTGTAGAAAACAAAAGAAAATAATCCGAAAATATATGTACATATATACATATATATATACAATATATGTATATGTATATCTACATACAAGCATTCACTTGTACTGTGTCTGCTAACGGCCCTACATCTTGGTTGTGTACATACACATACACACACACACTACATACATATGCTGCTTCAAATTCCAGCTACGCATTTAGAACTCCCTTGTCTCCGCCAAACAATTTCAAGGTCACACAGACATACACGCACACAAGTATAACTGCTGCCGTTAACTTTACAACCCTTAATGCTCGGCCAATTGACTAGCACTATCGCTATTTCACTCGCACCTTTTAACAGAGCTTTAAGCGGAGTTATCACATGCACACACATATATATATATATATATATATAAATACATGTATGTATATATATTTACCTACATATACATGTATATGAAACATGGCAAAGCAATGCAAGCAATATAACCGTGTCTCTGTTTGTCTCTCATGCAAACCTACCATGTGCAATGCGTACAAGTACAAACAAATATATAAGCTTCTACATGCGTATGTATACAAAATAAATAAAGCGAGCATATATACATATATATATATATTTATATGTATGTATGTGTGCATGCTATTGCGTCGCTGTTGTCGCATGTTTCTCCTTTTCCTTTCTATGCTTACGCGTACATACACACACACACTCATACATATATATATATATATATATACATATATATTATATATGTATATGCTGTTTTGTATATTTGTCTGGTGTAACCGGTTTTATGTTTGTTTTGCCCGGCTTAACCTTGAAAATTGTACCCCTTACAAACTTTCTATGTTATTATTGCAGCATTGGCGGCGGCTGTTGTTGTTCTTGTTATCACTGTTTCTGCTTCTGTTTCGCACTTGTTGTGCGCACCCTCCTTGCAAAACTTACAGCCGTGGGGGGGGGGGGGGGAGGGAGGGGCATGGCAATGTTTACAACATAACTACGCAGTACATAAGCACGTTTTTTCTCATACATATGAAGTGTTGTTGCTGTTTATGTGTATGTAAATGTTTCCAAAATATTCCTTCCTGATGCCGAAATTGCGTCGCAAAAAATGGACCATTGAATGGATTACAAAAACAGCAACAACAATGCGTTCTGCTGCATGGAAAATGGAACGAATGCTGCTTGTAAATATTACTTGCCCTTTTTATTGCTGCTTTTTTTTTAAGTGCACAGTTTAGTTTGAATATCGTCATTTTAGCTGATAGCTGATATTGCATATATAACAGTTTCTCAGAAGTTCCAAGATTTCCAGCAACAGTGTAACTAAATATACAGCATTCATATGTACATACATACAAACAAACAAACATATATGTATATATGGGGAAATAGCATAAACCTAATTGATGGGGGCCGATCACAACGTCGACGAGAACAGTGGAAAAAGACATGACGAGAAGTACAAAAACAAACTAACGACAACAGCAACAGCAAGCATGGAATTGGAACGAGCTGGAAGGTAACCGAAAAAAAAGAAGAAAATAAATAAAGCGAGCATATGAGCAAAGAAGGAAGAGGAAAAACAAGTCGGCGCGCATGTTGTTATCGGTTCGCCCTCCCCCACCAACCAAAGCACAGACCGCGTGTGTTTGCCAGTGTGCGTGCACGCCGGCCAAATTTTTCACGTACACCACACACATACATGTATATTGAAATCTTGTTGGCCCTTACAATTTGAAAACTGATTGGTAGTGATGCGTAGTTCATTTGCACATGAAAATTAATAGACTCACACTATTGCAATTTACGGTTACTGATGTAAATGTAATGTTTCAATAAGCACATACAATATGTATATATGTATGAATATAAAAGTATTTATTTATTTTCAGTTTATTTTCGCATTTACCGGTAAATGCCGGTTTTTTTTCATTTCATAATTATCTTTATTATTATTATAATGTATATAGACAAAAATATATGGAATACAATGTATGTATGCAGTGTACATATTTTTGCCATCATATGGGACTTTTTCTACACTTACCACAGCGTGTGTACTTTTCGATTGCCTTTTGTGCTCTTGTCCGTCGGCGGCCTACACTGGCGGCGACAACAACAACCAGACCAATATGCAGCAATGTTGGCACGCTGAAAATTGCTGGAGCCTGTTTTAATTTTTTTTCTTCTTTTTTATGTTTGGCAACTTGCTTTTGGCGTTGAAATTCGTAGGTATATAAGTAAGTTGGTTGGTTTGGTTGAGCGTGTGTTTGTAGAGTGTTCGTTCTCTTCTGCTGCGCGGGGATAATGCAAATGCACCCAAAATGCAATTGAAAAATATCGCTCAAGCGGTTATCGAGTATTTATTTGTATATTTCGAACATTCACACTTTGTAGTAACTTTCAAAAAATGATGTGATTGATTATTGCAGCAAAACAACAACAAAAAAAATGAAATGCATATAAAAACACCCACGACGAATCAAGAAATTGGAACCTGCAATGCACTTATGCACACACACACATACGATAATAGGATAGGTATGTGTGAAAGGCTGGATTTGCGCGCTGCAGCTCCACTTCCAATTCGAACTTTTGGCAATTCAATGTTTTGTATGTGTCTTTATTTATTGTATTTTAGCTTTTGTTTAAGTTGGAGCAAATTTTGAAATTGCAATGGTATTTGTTGGCTTGAGAAGTAAGATTCCAATATCCGTAACGAAGCGAACACGACGAAAAATCCACTGAGAGTAACATCTGTTTGCCAGTGTGACTGCAACTTCCTATCGACGTTTTACAGATTCATATTCGCGGTGTACACAATAAAAATACTAGCACAAGTCAAAAAAGAAGTAAAATACCATCAAAGGTTTCGCTATTTTTGGCGTTGCCATATGCCGCCACTCGCCAAAAACGTATTTAACTTTATTATAATATTTAACAAAATAAGTGGACATAATTCTGATATATATATGATAACAAAATATATGCTTCTTCATTTGTATATTTAACCGTCATTTAAATATTGATAGTTTAGGATTCAATTGTATATTGTAAACCGCCGAGACGTTGCCGCTGATCTGACCGGAACGCTAAACGCTGAGATTTTGATAAGCCTTGCGGATTGTGAGGGATGTGATTCTTTTCGCAATAGTCAACTGGATTACAGGTATCTCGCTCGTCTTGACCGAATTCAGCATAGAAACAGGTGGTTGATTGTCGATAGAAAACTCGTATTCCATGATATGTGACTGTGATAAAGGAACATATATATATGTATATATATATATATCTGTGTGTGTGCTATGATAATAATAACCTGAAATTCTTCAGATTTCAATAAATGAGTAGAATTAAATGGACAGCGAATTAATTTGATCTCCGGATTATTTCAAGCACATCGAATCAAATGTGTAGCCAAACGGATTGGTAGCAAGCGATGCGATTTGTCGTATGGGCATCCTACAAAACCATTCGTGGGTGTAGCATTTAATGCTTTAACCATTGATATTTTACCGATATCAGAATAGTCTGCCATGACTTTACCTGCGATTTACTGCGAAATTAAGAAACGAAAAAATGATTCAAGCAACGAGATTAAGAAAAATCACTCCTTGAGATGAGGCCGTTTGAATGGCATTAATTTCGATCGTGAAATATATCGATTAGGGTTACCAGCAATATTAACAGCATCAGTGTTGCTGTTTTATCGGACAGTTATATTCTTTTTAATTAACGTTAAGCGGAATATTTGATAAAAAAAAACACCTATCAGGGAAATTTAACATTTTCCCAAAAAGACTGCAAATATAGCAAAAAAAGACAGCATATAACTTAAAAGGTTCATTGATTTGATTCATTGATTCATTTTATGATGTAAATCGTTTTTTTTTGCCTTTTTTCTAGTTGATCTGTCCCATTTTTGTAATCGATAATTGGCAATACTGAACACAATTGTTATATATATCTGCGGTATCTGCGGTGATCATGTCGATATATCGATGTTTTGCTTTTTTTCCATCCCTTATTGTTTACAATTTGGGCGCACGTGCGAAAAACACGCGGAGGCTTAAGTTTTGCTTTTGGTATAAATATTATAAGCAAGCATGCCGCCAGTTGCACAAGAGGGCAATTGCCTCATCTATCGAGGTGGAAACTTTCTAAAGCAACGGCTTGTACTGTCCTGCCTCAGCGGCAAGCCAGTGAAAATCACACAGATTCGCGCCGAAGATGAGCGTGCTCCCGGCCTGCGGGAATATGAGATTAGTCTGATTCGTCTGCTCGATAAGCTGACGAACGGCACCAAAATTGAGCTCAATCCCGCTGGCACCAGTGTCATGTTCAGTCCGGGTTTGCTCCATGGTGGTCAATTGCATCACGATTGCTGCGTGCAGCGCGGAATTGGCTATTATTTGGATGCACTGATCGCGCTGGGTCCATTCTGCAAATTGCCCGTGCATTGTACATTGCGCGGCGTGACGAACAGCAAAGACTCACCATCGGTGGATCATATTAAGGGCGCTGCATTGTCACTGCTGAAGCGATTTCTATTAGTCGACGATGGATTGGATTTGCGTGTGGTGCGTCGTGGTGTTGCCCCGCTCGGTGGCGGCGAAGTGATCTTCAGCTGTCCCGTTCGCAAGAGCCTGCGCGCCATACAGTTCCAACAGCAAGGCATGGTGAAGCGCATCCGTGGCACAGTTTACGCCTGCAAAGTGTCACCGGCGATGGCCAATCGCACTGTGGAATCGGCCAAGGGATGCATGCTCAAATTTTTGCCAGATGTGTACATCTATACGGATCAGAATCGTGGCAAAATGTCGGGCAATTCACCGGGCTTTGGCATTTGTTTGCTGGCCGAGACTACAGATGGTGTTTGCTTCGCTTCCGACTGCATCTCGAACACCAAAGAGGAGTCGGTAAGAAAGAACCATTGATCAAATCAATTCCAAACTGTGTACCTTGCATCATCTTCCACATTCGACTTACTTGTGCAGGATACGCCTACCATACCAGAGGATTTGGGGCGAGATGTCGCCATGCGTCTGCTGGATGAAATCTATCGCGGTGGCTGCTGTGATGCCGCCTATCAATGGCTGGCCGCTCTCTACATGGCCCTGGGCCAAAAGCACGTTTCTAAATTTTTGACAGGTGCGCTCTGTTTATATATATATATATATATATATATCATACAGTTTTCCATGTCTTTAATCACATATATGTTACAGGTGCCTTATCTACATATACCGTGCACTTTTTACAACATCTGCGCGACTTTTTCTCCATAACGTTCAAGCTGGAGAATCCCGAGGCCGATGACGACGATGATGACGATGATGTGCGTGGTGCCCAAAAGGTTCTAATGACATGTGTGGGCATTGGCTATACTAATATTAGTAAGCGTGTCCTGTAGACATGCTCAAACGCATAGCCATAATCTAGACACATCGATCTAAACAATTAAATTTATTTTGTATATTGAATGTAACAATTATAATTATATACACATAATTGTATATGTATATGTATGCAAATGTATATAATATTAAGGCTAAAGTTCTTCATTAAACCATATATCTATATATATATTATACACTTGACAGAACTAAATTCATTTGCTTGAACTTTATCTTTATACATATACCCGAGATAGATTTAGTTATCTTGCAATATTTTGAAAAACATAAAATGCAATTTCGGTCCAAATTTTGCTTAATTGATTTTTGGCGCTGATATGCGAACTATTATTAATGTGTACTTTTTAATGTTATGCAAGTTTTGGTTTTGCTTATGCATAGTATTTTTTATTGAAAAATGTGTTGAGACATGGTAATTTGTATGCCCTGAGCCAAAAATGGAAAATTGATAAAACGGGTATAATGCAGTTGTGTCAATGTATGTAATAAACAGAAAAGACATCTCCAACTCCATAAATTCGATATGGACGAATTTGGAATGTATATTCGTATATACCAAGCAGATCAAGTTCATTTCATTTTATATTTTGAGAAACTACTTTCACCAGATTCTTTTCAGTGTTTATGCCTGTCATATTTATATTTCATATTTTATTTATTTTATTAAGCAGCTTGGCTCAGAGTATCTGCTGGTCGATTTCTCTCAAGTGTTTATTTTCTTTTTTGACTTAGGCAAGCAAAACTAAGGAACTAAGCGTTTAATGGGGAAGTGTAAATAAATACGTATAAATTACAAACAGCACAGGAGCTTTTTTTATTAATCAAATATACTATTCATTAATACGTGCATACATATATTGTTATATATATTAATTATATTATATTGTGGTAGATGAATTAAGGCACAACAATCATTTCGAATATTAACGGATAGACTTATCGGCGGCTTTGATAACGATAGCAATATCGACAGACGACATATCGAATTACAGTTAGTCGATTTAATTGAATCAAATGTAATTGATTGAAAATGCGTTACTTAGTTGCAGGAGGCATTTTGTACTCAGCTTGTAATCAGTGCCAAATGATCGAGTTCAAACACCTAAACATTCCAAGGTTTCCAAGGGCACTACGATTAGAAACCCGTTGTTGGCTGCTGCAGTTGCAGTTTATACCCTGTACCTCATTTCTAAATTGAGTAATAAAGGGCCTAATGTAGTGCAAGAGACAAATACAAATACTAAACACTAAATACAATAAAATACAAATATTTAGAAAGGAAGATAAAACTTCGGTCTGGTTTACATCAATTTATCTATCCTTTTGATAGGATGTTTTTGTTTTTTAGTAGTTGAAGTAGTAAGTGAATAAAGATTTTAATTAGAGCTGTGAGCAAAACTCCAATCAAAATAATGCCATAATTGAAGACGGCGGAAATGGCTTTGTGTGTGTGTGTGTGCAAAAAGAAGAAATCAAGCAAAGAGGACAGAGAAGAAATGGCCGCCATTTTGGATTATTGCGCCATCTTCTTGCTGTGGAGAACGCTGATTGTTTGCTTGCGCTTGCAAGCATAAACAGTTTTAGGTCGACGTAGTTGAGATTTGCGCCACACGCTTGCCAAGATCAGCAAAAATGTGAAACCAGCTGACACACGACACACGAGAGACGTCGACGTTGTTGCGTCGCCAGCGCTACCTATAAAAAGCGAACGTTCTGCGACAGAAATTATCAAACGCCGATCAACGTTTGAACACCTTTCATCTGTCCGCTGTTAGAGCCGCAAACAAAAAGTACCCGCATCATGAGCCTGAGACTGTGCCTGCTGGCATGCCTGATTGTGGCAGCCAGTGCCTCCAAGGATGAGCTGAAGCCCACAAAATGGCTCAGTGCCAGCGAGCTGGAAAGCTTGCCATCGTTGAACGAAATTTCGCTGGAGCGTTTGGAGAACATGCCACTGCAAAAGGGTGCCCAGTTATTGGAGCAGCTCTGTAAGTGCTCCATTTGAATCTAAGTGGGCAATCTGAACACAACATCTACTCTTTCTCGCCAGATCACATTTCGCACATTAAACGGGATCTGACGCCAAGCTTTGTGCCCAGCCCGAGCAACATCCCAGTGAAGATCGTTAAGGCAAATGGCGAACGTGTGGAGGCCAAGCTGAACAACTATGTGGAGAAGGCAATGGCTCAGCCCGGTTTCGGTGAGGATGAGGTCACCATTGTGCTGACCGGTCTGCCCCAAACGACGCCAACCATCAAGAAAGCCATGCGCCAGCTGGAGCAGGCCTACATGCAGCGTTACAATCTGCAGCAGCAGCAAAAGAACGTACAGCAGAACGAACAGCAGCAGGAACAGAACAAGGGTTACGAGGCCACCTCCAGCGAGGAAACTAACGATCAGTGGAAAATGGCCAAGGCAACCAGTGGCAATTTTATCGTAAGTTTACTTCGTGCCAATTTTTGGGTTTTCCCCCATTTTATAATCTGAATTTAATTATATTTGTGCAGGTTATTGACTTGGGTTGCACGTTGAACGACTTTACGCGTTTGTCCTTGTTGGATGTGGACCGCACCGGCGCCATGGTTGGCCAGACTCTGGTTGAGCTGACCAATAGTGGTGTGCCTTATGAGATTATCCATCTGATTGGACAGGGACTGGGTGCTAATGTTGCTGGCGCTGCTGGACAGAAGTTTACCGAACAAACCGGCCACAAGCTGCGCCGCATCACCGGTCTCGATCCCGCCAAGCAGCTGGCAAAGAATTCCGGTCACATTGATGGTCTGTCCCGTGGCGATGCCGACTTTGTTGATGTCATCCACACATCCAGCCTGGGCATGGGCACCCTAACGCGCTGCGGCGATGTTGACTTCTATCCGAACGGCGTCAGCCAGGGTGTGCCCGGTGCACAGAATGTTATCGAAGCCACTATGCGCGCCACCCGTTACTTTGCCGAGTCAGTGCGTCCGGGCAATGAGCGTAACTTCCCTGCCGTTCCCGCCAATTCGCTGAAGCAGTACAAACAGAACGATGGCTTCGGCAGGCGCTGCTATATGGGCATTGATGCCGACTTCGATCTGAAGGGTGATTATATTCTGGAAGTCAACGAGAGGAGTCCATTTGGCAAGCGTGCTCCCGCCCAGAAGCAGATCTCATACCACGGCTTGCACCACTCCAACTAATGCTGAAACAAGCTGGAACATTAACAACGACCAGGTCAGGAACAAACAGACAACGACAAAGAATGCATTCAAAATGCATCAAAATTAGCATATTAAAAAAAATAAAATTGAAATTAATAAACGAGCATATTTTCTAAACTAGAATACACAAAGTTTGCTTATTACAAAAAATTCAAATATAGAATTAAATAAAGAAAAAAATGTGTTTTAAAGACGTATGTGAGCATGTACAGGGTATCTCTTCGGCGGATACAATCTTCTTGATTTTGTGGGGCATTAAAAGCATAAAAGGAAATATAAAATATAAAAACTAAATTTTGAAACTCTAGTTGACTTAACTCATTTTAAATAATGCTAATTTTCAAAAAGAAACGTTCAAAAATATTGAAAATAATTTCGGACTAAAGAAGAAAACTTATTTTAAGTGATTATAATTTTTGCAAGCAAATTAACATATATCTTCTGATTTGAAAAATAGTTTTGTCAAAAATGATTTTCATAAGCACTTAAATTATAATATAAGAAATCTAATTAAATAACACTTTTTTCGAAAAGAAACCAAATTTGCAATCATGTTCAAATATACAAATGAATCCACAAAAAGGAAAGCATTTTTATACTTTTTCAGATTGAACTAAAGATTTCCGTTTGCTTCATTCTCAAAAAAAAAAACATTTATAATAAATAAGATACTTAAGAAAATTACTAATTAAAGAAAATATAAAATGTATAACAAAATATAAGGAGTCATTCACAAATCATTTCGATTTATTTGTGTCTGTATTAAGTATACTATGTTAATGAAATAAATTATTTGCAAAACTATAGATATGCGTTTCTTCATATAAAAGTAGATTAATAGATTCGATGAACTCCGATGAAACTAACTTAAGTTTTAGTTAGTGATTTGGGTTGGATGACAAAGTTTAAAGTTCAATTCGGCTTTTTTCTGATCAATCTTGAACACTTTGGCGGTTTGAGTGTTACATTTGTTTGGCACAACCATTTCAAAAGAATGGCTGAAAAAAAAAACAGTGAGAACGACACTTTCTCTTCAAATTTTTGGACATTGTCGCCCTTGAATCTTTGCCAAAAGGGACAGGTTTGGGTTAGCGGTCGTTTGCGCACCTTCAGCAATGAGTTGCTTCGCTTTAGCAAAATTTAAGATGCGCAATGACGGACCGAAGTAAGGCAGCAAAACCTTCTTCTCGATGCATATTTAACTCTTAAGTTAATAACTGCTCGGACATTATCGATACTCACATCTCCCATGCGAAACTGTGGTGATTGTCGAACCGATTAATTAATTCGCGAAAAAGTTAATTAAAGTTAAATGCCTGGAAATGTCTGTCTTACTTATCTAAATGGAGTACAGTTGCACTTCGTGCATATTCCTGAACAGTAATAAAAAAGAAACTACAAAATAAAAACAAATTTCAAAATGGACTAACTCCGCATCCCTATTGTAATCGATTAAAAATGACAGCAACATGGGCAAAGCACAATGGCCAATAAGAAAGTGCGAAATAGATCCGGTATGAAAGAAGTTTCGCGCACTAGCGCAGAACTGAAACATAACTCGTACCGATGTATCGACAGAACATCGATATTATCGATATCGCTAACTAAGAGGGGCAAAGAAGAACAACAAACGGAACAAAAAATACAAAGCGCAGCTCAACAACAACAAAAAATGCTCACATAATTCGAGCAATTCGGTCCAGCGACAGATTGCTGTAGTATTAAAGGACATAGCGAGAAAAAAGCAAAGACTCTGACCAACGCTGGTCCTGTTGCTAATAAATACGACTCCAGTGCTAGAATAAAATCAATACAGGGCCAGCTCAATGGGTGCCGAGCAATCGCAGCCACGCATCGAGGCTGATGGCCATGAGATTTTTGAGAGGCGCGACCCGGCGCCTCTCGACTCCCACTCGATGAACGATGGCAGCACCTTGGCACTGGCAGCGGCTGCTGCGGCAGCGACCAACAAGCGTCGTGGCGGCACCCTCCAGCAGCGACAGCAACAACAACATCAACTGCAGCACCAGCAGCAGCAAGCGTTGCCGCATGGACCGGCAAGCATTGTGATTGCCAGTAAGCAAATCATTTCAGATACAGCGTCGCCGACCAGCTCTGAGCTGAGCCGGCCGCCATCGCCGCCACTGAGCGTGTGCTCGGATCTACCGTATGTGTCGTATACGGATCGACCTATCGGCGATTCGCCAAAGATACGTAATCGGCCCGCCCATATGCTGCAACAGAGCAGCGCAAGCCGTGCGGCAGCACGCAAATCGCATCCGGGCGGCATCACAACAACCATCAAGCCGAAGCGTCCACAATCGACGGCATCCAGTCACAATATTGTTATTGTCAAGCCGGGTGCACGTGATACCCATGACGATATCGATCCAGATTTGACACGTCTGCGCAACATACCACAATTTTTACCGGTGCTGCGTGAGTCTATTAGCTCGGCGACATATACACGCGATGCAGAGATCTTGGAGCGTTTGCATTCTCAGCATTTGCTGAATATATGCGGCCGGATGCAGACGCATTTGAATTTGTGTGCCAGCCATGTGGCCAGCGAACAGAATCATCTCGTGGAGCGCACCAAGGTCGTTAGCAATTCGATAACGACACTCTTTGCCAGCTTCGTCGATATGCAGAAGACATACGCATCGTATGCGGAGCAATTTGCCAAAATTCGTGGCGTGTCGCAGCAGCTGAGCCGCTGCAATTCGTTGCTGCATGAGAATATTGCCAGCTTGGAGGCAATCAATAATTTCCTGGACGATGAGGATCGTCTGGAGCCATTCGTCTGGCGCACCGATGACAATAAGCTGCGCGGCGAGGCGGAAGGCGCCGCGGGTGGCAATAGTAGCCGTCTGTGGCGTCTCTAGGCGCTCCAATCGATTTCCTTCCAAAGATTGTTTGTTATTAGTCTAACGCGTAATTCTATTTAATATATATATATTGAATATATATTTATATTGTGTATATTAACTATATATGTATTCTTTAATTGTATTGTATTGTTTGTATGTGGTTTTTAGTGAATTTCGTGTATTGAAATTATTTTTTAAGTCTTATTGACAGATCTCGTGCATTTGCAACGCAGGCGCCACACTTAACAATAGCCGCCTTATGCTTTCGGAACTGAAACCAGTATGTGTAAATAAACATTTATCAATCTATAGCAATATAATAGTTATCTTACTTGTCAATGTCAAAATTCCTATGACTTGAATCAAATTTGCGATAAAATGTTGTTTCATAATTAAAAACAAAAAACAAAAACCATTCAAATCTCAAAATTTAATTCATCTAAATTTGAAGGGCTTGGCTTAAATGCATAGATGTGAAATTTGTATAAAACGACTTTGTTACAAACAAAAATGTAGAATATACAATACAATATAAAAATATAATAATAATACTTCAGGCTCTGAACACACATGAATATTTCTGCAAATGAATTCCAGTCTACAGGGGAATATAATAATTGGCCTGCCTATGATAACCGTTCTTTCTTGGCTATAATCTCTAATGACGGTTCGAGCTACCGAAATTGAAAGTTTTTTCAAACACCACTCAAAAAAACCAAAAAAAAAAAAATTCAAATTTTAGTCGAATCCAATAAGTGAATATATTTAATTATTCAATGTAATGACACATTTAACAATAATTAAGCACACTCACAATATACATACATGCAGACATATATAATTCTATATATATATATATATATGATTAGTGGAATCATGTAATTGAATATATTTAATAGTCCAATGTTATTACTTGAATAATGTATACAATTATTAATAATAATTTTTAATTACACACTTAATGCGCAACTATTTGAGTAATTTTACATTTCGCTCAACACAATTGTGTATTTGACACACAAAAGTGTTCCACGAACTATTTTCTATAAGATGAAATGCACATTTCTGGATACAACTTTCAAAGTAATTGGCAGCTTGTCATCGCACAATTCTTTGGGTGTGTAAGTTGAGAAATCAAAGAAATGAATCGAGACAACAACTAGCCATACTATTTATTCCATAATTAGTTAGCTAGAGATTAGCAGTCTACATATCGAACTACGACTAGTACACATTTACTAAAAAAAACAATTATAAATTTCGCATGCATATCATTTTGGTTTTGTTTTTTGTTTTTCTTTTTTTTTTATCAACATTAATTACAATTTTTTGTTGGCGTTTTGCAGTGCAAGAACACCTTTACTTATATTATATACACACACATATACATTTAACAAATACGTTCATTAAAAATAGTTAGTTGAGTCGCCTCTGCGAGGCATATTAATGGTTTCTGTTTTTTGTTGAAACCGTTTTGCATGAAAGTCCCAAATGAAACAGACAGAGAAAGAGAAAGACAGAGAGAGCGAGAGAGGGAGAGATAGATAGGTAATGTGCGAAAGAGACAGAGCGAGCGAGAGATACGAGTGCTTCAAATTCATTTGCCACGTTTGCGTCGAAGGAACGCACGCAATCGTTCGCTTCCTTCTCGTCGCCGTCGCCGTCGTCCTCGTCTTCGTCGTCGTCGGATCTCCAGGCGTACCGTCTTGTATAAGGCCATGGAGCAATGGTAGAGATTGAAAATCGACGAGAGCACAATTACAAAGTGTTTGGCCAATTGGAAGGGATAGCTACTCATCAGCCGTATGATAAATGTGAGGGCTAACTGTTAACGCTGCGTATAGCAGCTCCAATAAACAAGGAGCATGAGCAGTACGTTAGCGCAACTTATATTCTAGAAGAGCTTCTGCATGTTGATGCGATCCTGAATGTTGCGCTGTTGCTCCTGTTCATCGATGGACTTCAGTTCCCGGGCCACCGTCGACTTGAGCGTTTTATCCAATTCAAGTGCATCGACAAAATCGCAACGGGCCTGCCTCGGATTCCAGGCGCCAGCATGGGCCTTGGCGCGCCGAAATAGCGCCTTCACATTGTGCGGATCAAGGTTGAGTACCTCGTTACAGTGCTCAATTACGGCATAATAGTCACCGGCAATCAGACGGCATTGGGCATAGTTCAACAGCAGCGGCGTCTTAATTGCAGCCAACTCCAGCCACTCGGCATCGTGCGGCTTCTCCTTGAGCATCAGCTGCTCGACCATGCCGACAGCATCGCGATAGCAAATCTCTGCGGCGGCATATTCGAGCGCCTTATAATGACGATTGCCACGCTCCTTCAGCGTATGGGTTGCCAGCATTTTCTCATCGTCGCTCATTTGCCAGCGCTCCTTCTCATACTCCTCGGGCAGCTCTATTGAGATTAATTCAATGATGAACTCCAAATCGACGGGATGCTGAAGTAGCTCGTCCAGATCCTCATAGCCCATACCTTCGTTCTGTAGGGTCATGCCGCAGCAGTGACGACGCTCCTCCGGTTTCTTGCCAATATCACGCAGCGTTTTCGATATGAACGGATATTGAGCACAGAACTGTAAGGTCGAAAATATGCATATTAACAAAATACAAATAAAATCTTTTCAAGTGGAGTTTGTTTATGGCACTCATCCAATTAATTGACTGATTAATTAGCAATTAAATTCAATCTACTACAAGTTAAAATTGATTTTTTGATTATGGATTTGCTGTATTTATTCACATTATCTACTGCTATGAAATATTTTATAATTTGCTGATGGACGCTAACAATTTCGAACTAGTAGAATTTAAAACTGACTGCGGCAGATACAAGAATTTGCATAAACTGATGGAAGTTCTTCATTCATTGGATGAAAGAAATTTCACACAAATTCTCAACACAGCTGCTAAATATTGCCAGTCGGTCAGACTTAAATGCAAATGAGTTCCTTCCACGATTGCTAGTCGATGAGCGATCTGTGACTTGCGCACAAGAACATATTAGGTTATATCTTTAGGTAAGCACCTGTGGCAGTTCCGGGGATCGAATTGAGTGCGCTTACCGATTTGTTAACTGTGAATTTGGCCACTTCGTTGAGGGACATTTTTTGCACGATGACCTCCCAGACTTCTAGTTTGAATTTCTTGCCCAGAACAAGCTCCATGGGCTTGTCAATTTTCCTGCTGTCGTCCACGATTCGGATATCGTTTGCTCGACGCGTTTGAAAATGGAATTTCACCTGAAAAATTGAAACTGTGTCACTTGCAGCCTGGGATGTGTTCTGGCCTTGGCCTAGTTTTTGTTGTTTTTTTTTGTGTCGGAGTCGCTTTGCAGCCCAACTGTTGCCTGTTGATATTTGATATGATTCGCTTACTCTGGTTCCTGGGATTAGTTCGATGTATTTGTTGCCAGGATTTAGCACTTCCTTGTGTATTGGCTTTTCCTTACTAACTTTGCTTAGTTTCTGCTCCATTTTAGTTTTTGTTTGTGTGGATTTTTTTTTGATTTTCTCAATTTTTGCAGTGTCTGCCGCTGGCTCACAATTCACGAATCACGCACAATTTGACTCCGCCTTCCAGCTCCTGACTTTCAACAATAAAGGACAATGAGTTGCAGTCAAAACAAAATGCAAATATTCCAGAACTAATTCACGCAGATCAGCTGTTTGTAGCAAAACAAATCGATTGGTATTGCCACTATCGATTAATTTACATTTCTGACTGTCGTTAGCGAATTTATTAGTTATTCAAATTTTGAAACTTACTACTACTCTGTCATTAAATACATCAATCGGACTTTTTTGATTTTATTTTTATTTTTGTAAAATCCTTTCATAATGCATGTACGTTATCGATGGCCGTAAATTGATAAATTCTTCACCGTTAGGGCTGCACCGTCGACTTGTTATCGCGTTACGAAGTTGCAATCGATAAGAGTTGCCAAGTCGGCTGAAGCCTACCAGCTGGGCTCCCAGCCATATGACCCGCCAACTATGAACAATGTTTCGGGCAATTTATTCGGTCGCGTATAGCGGAATCTGACAGTTGTATGTGCGCGCGCTCTGCTCTTGATGCGACACCAGTTTGCTTGGGCGCAACAATTTCAAAATTCTTACGAACACTTTAAGGATTGAGCTGAATGTATTTTATTTGTTAGTATCTAATTGTAATTCCATCTGAGTGTCTATGTTTTTTTTTTTTGGTGCGTGTGTGTGTCTTGTGTGTGTGTCTCAGTGCTAGTGCTAAAATTGATAATAAACAAATGTTTCATCTAAATTACAATCTCAACGACCGCATTACAATCAATTACTTTATGCTGCTTAAACAACCAGCAGCTGCTCTCAATTTGATCGTCAAGTTTTGCAATTTATACTGTCAAAGCTGCCCGCAGACGCCGTCGCCGCATTTACTTAAAGATCGAGTCGCGCCCAGTTTGGCATCCCTTGCACTCCTCACAGTTCCCTCGCAATCCCCTCGCTACCCCGTTGGAGCTACCCTCAATATATCACATAACATTGTTTGTGTTGCAGTGTAATAAGAAGATGCAAACATTCAAAAGAATCTTGTTGCTGTTTTTATTTGCATATTTGCGCTGAAATCCATTGCGTATGCGTAATATTTTGTAGAAATATTTTACTGTGATTTGATCTTGAAACACAATAATAATAATAATAAAATAAACAAATTTGTACACATGCTTTGAGGACTCGAGAGAATGAAAACTTCTCGATTTCTTTAGAATTGTGTTGAATTTGTAAAGAACAATTCAAAGATGAACATTAACCCAATGGCATATTTAAGGAAAAAATTCTCAAGTATAGAAATTTCATTAGGTATTTAGAGCATTACATTTCTCTAACAGAGAACGTTATGGTTTTTATTTTATTTTTGGTTGGAAACAAACAGTTTTGAGTATAGAATTTTCGAAATTACTTTAAGGAAATCTTCAAAATTTTGTAAAAATGCGAAATATTCGCGAATTGAAATTAAATTTGGAACCGCAACGATCCAATTTTCAAATATGATCACACATTAATAATAACTGAAGATTTGATGCTGTTTTTGACCATCTGAGTGCCTTGGCCGTTTGCGTAGGCGTTGCTCTATGCTCTATATAAATTATATACATATCTATCGCGACTAATTTATACAATAACAAGTTCAGCCACGTCGAATATTACATGCCCTTTCCTGATTCACAAATCAAAAAATAAACAAAAAAAACCTCTCAATTTTTGCCTGAAGCGTGTTAATATGCATATTAGGTGAATGTGGCTTGGATATTTGTGTAAATAACACAGAAAGTTGTTCATACAATGAGCGCTCATCATTCGATCGATGGTATATATGGAGTATATAGTGAGACGATCCGGTCATCTACGATAGATTTGATCAAAATCGATGGACAGACGGACGGACTTGGCTATATTGAGGCGGTCGGTGATGTGTTTCAAGCGAAACATTTGCTATAGTCAAATACATTCAGATGTTGGCCTGCCTACTCACAGCAACAACAGCAACAACAACAATAATAATAACAACAATAATAATAATAACAACAAGAAATAGACACATATGATTTTATGTGCACAGCCCACACGGCAGCCCCAAACAAAAACTTAGAAAAAAAATCTATCAAATTAATACAACTTTTGCTCTTTGGCTTTGAGCTTTCAGATCGTTTGTACTCTCCCTCTCTCTCTCTCTCTCTCTCTCTTTCTCGCTCGCTCTCGCTCTCGCTCTGGCGCTCATTCGCTCTCTTTCACCAGTCTTCCTGCTGTTTTTTTTTTTGTGAGTAGGCGAACGCTGCTACATTCACAGGTATAACAACCGCAAAGCAACAGCAAACTCACAGCTACAGCTACAGATGCAGCAGCAGCAGCACCAGCAGCACCAGCAGCAGCAGCACGAGCAGCAGCAGCAGCAGCAGCTACAGCAGCAACAGATACACATACAGATAGAGAGATACAGATACATTGAGACACATCAAATAGATAAACTTGGCATGTTTTTTTGTTGTTTTTTTTTGTTTTTCGTGTGTGTTCTTTGACGCTTGTTCAAAAACGCTTTCTGCCTGCTCGGCAGTCGTTGTTGAAATTCTGCTGTGTTCTGAGGCTTTGCATGTCTGAATTCGAGCTGAACCAAAATACAAATGTAATAATTAAAATCAAACGAGGCACGCGGCGCGCAAATCTTCACGTTCGAATGTGCATCAATGAAAAGTTTTTTTTTTCTTTTTTTTTACATTTATATGTATTTATCTAAATATAAAAAGCAATCGTTTTTTTAATGCACAGAGATATATTGAAGAAATATTCTGAAAAGTGCAAATGACCTAACACAGATTCGTAATCACTGACACACACACACACACACACACACATAGATATACACAAATGTGTTTATAATTATAAAATATTTGACTTCAAATATAATGTGGGGGTTTATTAATGTGAATTCAAAGTCAATGCTGGACAAATAATCCATAATTCTGCACGAGAATATGAAGCGATAAGCTTCAGAAGTGATTTCAATAAACACCCCCAAAAAAATGTGAAGAAGAAAAATCAAAATTTAAACGGTTTTGATAACTGTTTATTAACCTAAAATAGTTGAAGAACTGTTTTTTCAATTTAAGAAAAATTGAAGTTTTTTTTTGTTGGTTTTTCCCATTACGAGTGCAAGCTGTGTTTTTTAAATAACATTTCGAATGGTTACAGGGTATCACTAGTTGAAAACTACAAATTCTGTTGAAAAGCTTTAACCTTCACAAGCACACACACACACACACACATACATACTTATACAGATATGCCCGTGTGCTGTGAGCAAACGTAATTTTGTTGTAGTGTTTTTAATTTCGATATTAATTTTTCGTGTTTTATTTTTATTATGTTTGACATTGTTTTTTTTTCTTCTATTTTTTTTATTTTTATTTTTGTTTTTTGGAAATTTGTTGTCTCAGCTGTTTGGTTATTGGAGGAGCCTCAGCGCACCTAGAAACTTGGGCTAATTGCCAAACAATTTTGGTTGCACGCCGTAGAGTTTGCCTGCAATTGAAGCGTTTAGCTCAAGATGCTTATTTTTAAAACAGTCTCGCTGACTAATGCAGAGAGTAGCTCTAGGTACACACACACGGTGTATATTACATATGTATGTGTTTAGGCAAGGCATGCATGTGTGCGTGTATTTATATGTATATACATATATAATTGTCTATGGAATATCTTTACTGGGCGCACGCATAATATCTTTGGGATCAGCGATTCTAGCATCTGGCCCTCATTTCTTCAATGCGTTCTCTGCATCTCTCTCGCTCTCTCTCTTTCTCTCTCTCTCTCTCTCTCTCTCTCTCCCGCTCTCTCTGTGTCGTATTTATTTTTAGACTAGTGATCGTGTGTATTGACTTTGTGTATGTGTGAGTGTGTGTCTCGCTGCTAGGAAGCTGAGCAGTTTTTGGCATTTAACGGTACTCCCAAAAAGCGCAACACACATACATACATACATACATACATACATGCATACATACATGAAAAGAGCACATTTGTAATTTTGCAATTATTTGCTGCCTTTCTTTAACTTATATGTTTTTTTGGTTTTTATGAACACAGTCACGCCCTCAGGCATGCCCAGCGTATTAATATTGAATACGCATATACATTTATATAAATATACATTCATATATATATATATATATATATGTGCGTATAACAATCGAATGTCGTTGACCATATGGCGTATTTAGCACAAGTAATTTTTTTCACAACCGCCAGCAGCTAGTTGTATTTTGAAATGAATGACAACTATCAATGAGCTTGAAATTGTCGTTGTGGCGCCCGCCTACACACACACACACACATACACACATTCACATACGTGTGCAAAATGTGCATGTTGCCCACTTGTCAAATCTTACCTGCGCTAGCTGCGCTGCCAACATCAAATCAAACGCCAACGTCAAATGTCGACGTCAACGCCAACGCCAACGTCGACGCCTACTACGAATTCCTATTTATGTATGCAATTCTTTTTGGTTTGCAACTTGACTAAAGGGCGCTCATCATTAGATTTTGGCAACCTGTTCATCTACATAAATATGTATGTATGTGTGTGTGTGTGTGTGTGCTGAGAGCAACTCTGCCGATTGCATGCTGTTAACAAGAGAAGAATACAAATAAAAAGATAAAAAAATAAATAGTATCAAATGAGAAACGAGCGGTCTTTCTTAGATTTCGAAACATTTACCAACTGCTCCGATGTCCGATGTATTCCTGGAGAGTCGCATAAGAAAACAAAGTTTTGAGCAAGCGCCAAAAGCAAAATTCGTTCGAATTCGTTCTTATATTTGTGCACAGCATATTTTGGCGCTCATCGCAATTTTGGCTCTCCCTTTTCATGCTGTTCATTCTGAAACTTTTAGAGTCAGCTGGTCGCGTCTATGTGTGTGACGTGAGTGCTCGATGCGATGGCCTTGAAGCTTCGGCCGAACTATGTCCGACTCTGCTACACATACATACATACGTACATACAGAAACACACACACACACACATGCAAACGTACATGAATAAACAAGAAGAGACAAGCGACTGCAGAGCACTTCACAAATAAAAAACAAAAATGCCAAAAATCTTCCCAAAAAACTTGATTTTCAATTATGCTGTGTGTGTGTGTGTGTGTGTGTGTGTATGCGTGCGTGTGTGTGCGAGTTTTGTCTGTCTCAATTCTTGGCGCTTTTTTAATTTCGCTGAGCTGAGCGTTTTCTTAAGTCAACTCGGCCAAGGTTGCTGACAAGCGACAACTTGAGATCATAATATAAATAAAACTAAAGTCAATGTATGTATGTATATATGTATGTGTGTGTGTGTGTGTGCGTGGGTGCGTCTGCGTCTGAGTGTGTGTGTGTGTGTGTGTGTGTTGACCATATGCGAGATTTGCAACGTTTAATGCTCAATTTCTTGCAACAGTTCTAGCTAATACCAAGTCTAACAACAACAATACCAACGAAAATGCAATAAAAGTGCCAAAATACAAAAACATCCGAAAGAAAAGGAAATAAAACAACAACAACAAAAACAGTACAAACCAACACCAGCAGCCAGAGAGGAGGCAACAACAACAACAACAGCAGCAACCACAACAACGACAACAACAACAAGCCACATCATGATCAGCAGTTGGAGTTGCAGACTGCTGCTGCTGCTCATGCTGATGATGATGCACTGCAGCAGACACCTGGGCACAAACGCCTACAACATCGATCTGCCCAGTTACGTGCGGCATCGACAAGCTGGCAACACCATGTTCGGCTTCAGCATTGCGTTGCACAAGGCCCGCAACGATTTCCCAACTTCAATTCGTAAGTAAACTGAACTCGCTTTGCTCATTTAAGTACAGTGAACGCTAACTATAATTTGCTGCTGCAGCACTTTGAACTTTATCAAATCAGAAAATCAGAAATAAATATTGAATTTAGTCTGTTTTTTTTTATCTGTGTTAAACAAATTTATATTTTATTCAAATATTTCGGAATGCAAAAAAACGTTTTCTTTGAATTCGAGAAGTTGGACTGTATTTGGTTTATGTACAGTAAACATTGCTTATTTTAATTATTTATGCTGTGCTTAATTTGACGCCTAATTCGTGATCAAGTTGCAATGAATTGCGAATTATTTATTTTTGGTTTTATACTCGTATTTGTGGTCGGTTTTCGCAACTTGAACTTCAGCTGAAAGTATCTGAAGAAAAGCATCAAGATCGCAATGCTTATTTTTATTTTTTACTCTGTCGAATTCTTAATCGACTTACAAAATATACAAATGAGTGTGTCTATTGAAGGAAATGCTTTCCGCTTGCCGTTTACCGAACCTTATGTAAATTGAGCGAACGACCTTCTGTCACCCGAGACAGAGCAACGGAGTGACAGTGACATATGTATGTATACATATATATATATATATATATATATATACATTCAGGGAAATTTCAATGGCACAGTGCGCATGCGCGCCGGAAACAATCAGGCATGACAATAACAAAATGTATCTTATACTTATGCTACGCTCTCACCCCTACCCTGCCTACTCTGCCACACACACACACACACACACACAAATACACAGAGAAGAATAACAGATGCGCTCAACAAGAACAACCTTTGTGGCATGGTAGATCTCTCTATCTTTTTGGATAGTCAGTTATAATTGCAGTTGTGGAAGCTGCAGACGCTGCTGATAGTGCTGCCACTGATAACCAGTGATAAGCGTAAGTGGCGTTTTATCACAACCGCTGTGGCAGCCGTCTGTCTCCCTAACAATGCGTATATACATACATATGTACAATCCGAATCTGAATCCAACTGAGTCCAACTTAAACAGAGAACTGATAACTGTCATATGAACGAACGCATAAAAATGCATTGATACTCGCATATTTATTATGCTTGTATCAGGAAATAAAGAAAGTGCTGACAATCAGCTCATTTCGGGATGCAATTATATTATTATTTACTGTACGAGTATGTTGAAGAAATTTAAGCACAGCTCAATGAACTCACAGTACACACTCATCTGCACAAACCACTACTTTGATTATAGACAACAACAACAACAAAACAAAAACACAAACACAAAGATTGAAGCAGATCTTAACTTGTCGACTCAGCAGGGCGATTAAACTATGACATATTTTTCAAATCAGAAGACATTCGTAGTATTTGAAACAATAAACACTCTCTTTTATCTTTGGAAAATATCAAAGATTTCGAGCTCAAATTATATGTTTGCTGCTGATCAGAATGAGTGCGGAAGTTGGGGGACTTAGAGCCAATCATCTTAATTAGTTGGGTAAACTTTTACAATGAGTTCGTTTTTCTCTATTATATAAGATCAGAATGCCGAATATCTCCTCAAATGAAATGAGTATATAAAGTAGTCGTTTAAATATAGAATTCCTTTTCAAATAAAACAAATTTTGATATTATTGTGGAGTTTTTCATTGAAATATCTTCGCCCGATCTGCACCCCTTTTAACGTATTTGCTCTATTTTCATTTTTGGCCTCTCCACATACATATATATATATTCCATTTAGTGCCATAGCTGTCTGGTGGCTGGTGTCTGGTGCCTTGTGTCAACACCATAAAAATCCCAAGTGCCATTAATTTCAATCAGAGGTGCACAATCAAAATGAATGGTTGACAGCGTGTCCTATTGCTCGGATCATAGATTTATATGTGTCTATACGAGTATATAAATATAAACTACTTCCCGAGACCCGAGAATGCCCTCGGCTGGGAACTGGGCCGTTCTCTCGGCACGTTATTAGCCGAAACCTGCTGACCCGTGGCAAATGAGGAAAACAGAATTTACAAAAAAATCAAATAAAAAATGCAGATTCTCTCATGCCAGTCTCGCTGTGGTGTCGCTCGATCAGTTAATCGATCAGCCGCCCTCCAATACACATATATATATATATATATATATATTTATACATGTGTGCTAAATTATATATTCGCATTCGCATTCGCATTAAATAATGACCAAGATAGCCTATTGAACTTCGAAAGTTCGTCAACGGGAACGGTGCTGGGTGCTGAGTGCTGGGTGCTGAGTGCTGGGTGCTCTCTGCTGCCAGTTGTTGTGTTGTTCGCTCGCAGAGCTCGCAGAGCGTGCTAATCAAGCGGCAACCGATGCAAAGATGCCTCTTCGCTAGACGTTTTGACTTTTCGCACGTTCACTTGCTGCACAGAATAGAAAGACGAAGATGATGACGACCACGAGGCAGAGATAGGCACCAACGTTCCAAGCACTAACAATCAAAGAGCTGCTCCACTCACATCCGATAAAGATGGGCAGAAAACCAGCCAGATCGACAGAGAGTGCGACAGAGAGAGAGAGAAAGAGAGAGAAATAGATTGAGCTCAAGCTGAGAAAGAGAGATGAATATCTAGACAGGGAGGGAGGGGGGTGTGGGGAGGCAGCCAGCCACTAATAGACATACTGAAAGCTAAAAGTAATCAACGTATGCGAGAACGTATATGGAAAAAAGCTCTGCTTTGTTGTTATTCTTCTCTTCTAGCCCACAATGGGGAGTATGACGTTGGTAAGAGCATTTCGTTACACTTGCAACGACAATGTGATACCCATGAAAAATATTATAATTAAGTGAATTTAATCAAATTTGCTTTTTCTTTTATTAGTCTTATTTTGCTTATATTTAAATGAAATGTACAAAGTTTTCTTATTATTATGTTATATGATATTAAAGCTAATTAAATAGAATAGAACATTATTTATTTAATGCAAAAGACGCAAATTTAAATAGGATTAGAATGGTAAATTAAAAAGATACAAGTTATTGTCTTATGGACATCGATTTAATGAGAGTAAACAAGAAATGCATCAAATTTGTTATTTATCTCATTTGGAATCAAATAATTCGCCAAGCTGCATTCATAATACATAATACATAATACATAATTCGTAGATCTTTAAATTCGAAGTCAAATCCAAACACAGTATTGGGTATTAAGGGGTTAAATGCACTTAAATGCTTTTTACACGAACAAAAAAAAAAAACAAAAACAAAAAAGCGGCACAAAAATGTAAAGTGAAGTCAACACTTTATTTAAATGCAGCGTTAAAATGTTTACAATTCAATAAACACACGATAATAAACACAGAGCACAAGAAGAGCGATGCGTGCTTGCTTGAAAGGCCTCCAAGCTTCCATATACAGATACAGATACAGATAGAGTTAAAGATGCAGATAGAGTTAAAGATACAGTACAGATACAGATACAGATACAGAAATAGATACAGACGCCGACATTATTGCTCAACAAGTTAAATTCCCAAGCGCATCGCAGCTCAAATACTCTACGCATTTCTACAATTTAATTGCGTATGTCTAAATTCCATCCAAAAATACTTGTAAAAAGAGCTTAATATCAGCATTAAACTAAGTTTCCGGCCTTTCCAGCGATAACAATAAACTGTTGGAAAAGGTTCTGCCTTGGAACTATTCGTTTTTTTTTTAAATATAAATAGCTTAATGAAATATTATAATAATAGCTGAATTTATCAAATAGTCGTGCTATATAATATTTGGGCTTGTATTAAGCGGTTCCCTATTGTGACCCGATGGCGCTGAATTATTATTAAAAAACATTAACATAACATTTGCTGATAGTTCTACTTGTAGTTATATAGATAGATCTACTGATAGTTCTACTTATAGTTCTCCACGATATCTCAACTGATCTGCTCCAGCTGCTTGTATCCGTTCTTCAAACTTGGATCATATTTTAGGAGACGTAATACTCATAGGCCTAATGCCTATTGTTATTTGTTGCTTATGTTATCTGCTTTTTTTGGTTGGTTTGGTTTGCCTAACAATTAACACATATGTTTGTCTGAGCTCAGACTGTTTGTTGTTTGCTGAGTGACACTGTCGATCTCTGTGTGTGCTGTAAGGGCATACAGCGACTGCCTTCCGCTCTACCCACGCCGCCACTCTCCGTCATGTCTGCAAAGTGCACTTAAAGCTGAAAATTACCTGACTCCATCTGCTGCTGCTGCTGCTGCTGATGATGATGCTGATGTTGATACACACAATATAATTGTGTGTTAAATGCGCACAAACAGAGCTATAGAGCCAGATACCAACGCAACACTGACTCTGCAGATGGAGGAGGAGGTGGTCGAGGAGGAGGTGGTCAAGGAGGAGGAGGTGGTGGTGGAGGAGGAGGAGGAGTTCGTGGAGGCTTTGTGGTTTTGTCTGTAACTAGTTGTTGCTTATATTGTTAATAAGGCAAGTCATTGGCCAATGTGGTTTGCCCTGAAGCATTGTCGGCGACAATTAATACACATGCACATATATACATATATATATATATATATGTATATCTGTATCTTGCAATTGGCGTAAATGTATCTGCATCTGTATCTGTGTCTACAGCTGACACAGTTAGAGCTGTGAGCGTGCTATTTACGGTCAAGTGTTTGGCACAAGGTTGACCGTCCGCTTCACCCAATTGGCCAAATAAGTCATCATCATCAGTGGCAGCATCAGCTGCATCAGCAGCATCAGCAGCCTCTGCGTACCGTTACGTTGTCTTCCACTTGTTGAGATGCACAGGTTTCCTTATACTACAACTACTACTACTACAACTACTACCTACTAGAACAAAACGGCATTCATCGGCTCATTCGCTCATTAGCCTGGCCTCGTTCACAGTGTGCCAAATGTGGGTTAGTGCCATGCATATAGGGTGGCATTCGCAGATCCGTCAAATAGCAGCAGACTGTCTACAGATCCAGTGTATTCTTTCGTTCATCTCATTTATATGTCAACAGCATAAA